CCCGCCGAGCCCGGCAGGGAGCTGTGGGAGCAGCCAGCGGCCTATCGAGTGGCGCCACAGCAGCCCGGCCCCGGCGCCGCCTCAGCCGCAACAGCGCGTGTCCGCGCGGGAGGGACGGGCACGCCACGCGGCGAGGAGACCCCGGCCGCACCCGCTGTCACAGGCGATCCGGGGCGCGTCTCCCAGGCCCGCCGCCCACCCCTCCCTCCCTCCTTCCCTCCCGCGGGCCCCGGCGCCGCGCGCTGCTGCACCTGGTACTCGATCTCCAGCGAGGCGCCCGCGCGCATGGGCTGGAAGAAGCACTCGGTGCGGCCGGCCGGCAGCGTGAACGTGAAGTCTCCGTCCAGGGACTGCGCGAACCCCGCGGCGCCGACAGGCGGCTGCAGCAGCAGCAGCAGCAGCAGTAGCAGCGCGGGCCCGACGAGGCGGAGGATCCGCGTCCCCATCCTACCCCTGCCCGACGCGGCGCGAGGCTCTGAAGGCCACTGACCCGCAGCCGCCTCCCGCCTCCAGGGCGCTGCGGTAGGGAGCAGCGGCCCAAGCTTCCGCCTCTGAGCCTGGCAACGAAGGGGTTATTCACGCGGGGCGGGACTCCCGGCTCCCGGACACGCAGGTTGCCGGGGCGTTGTGGGAAACGCAGTTCTGCGGGCGCGGCCGGAGGCGGCAAGGTTGCGGTGCTGGACTACAGCTCCCAGGGGCCAGAGGGAAAGGGCGGGGCGCGACTCGCGCGTGCGCAGAAGGAGAGCGGTGGCTGCTGCGGCCGGCTCTAACGGCCCGCGCCGTTCGAACACGGGGGACGGGGCGACACGCGGGACAGTCTGGGACACGAAATGTGGGCGGCGGCGTAGGAGGTCGCGCCCGAGTCCCTGTGCCGGCGGTGAGCCCGCTCTTCTCCCTCCCCTGGTTTGGCTGGGCTGGGCAGCAGCCCGCCTCCTTCAGTGTGCTCCTGCACCCCGGGGCAGCCCCGCATCGCCGGCTTCTCGCTCGGGCTCCCTGTGGCGCCCCTGTGCACCCCGCCGGCAGCCGCGGCTGGGGGACGCTGCTAGGCAACGCGATGCGCTCCTCCCCGCGGGGCGGGGCCGGGCCGGGCCGGGCCGGGCCGGGCCGGGCCGGGCAGGGCAGAGGGGCTGTCACTGAAGTGAAGTTTTCTTTTCCTTTCAGCGCCCGCGCCGGGCCCGGCCGGCAGGAGAGGGGTCTCAGCGTGGTTTCCTCCGCTGCCGGGCCGCAGGCTCGGATCACCGAGGCCGCACGTGACAAGGTCGCAGAGGGCCCCGGTCCCGCCTGTTCCTCAGCCATCCCTGTCCCGGCTCCCTGGGAACCGGCCCGCTCTGCTTTCCTGCCTATGGAAAAACAGGGCAGCCATTTTCCTCTTGTAAAGAACTTGGGGAAACCACGGCAAGTCCCAGTGTTTGTTTTGGGTTTGTTTGTTTTTTTTAACGTGATGGATTCTTATTTTAAGTCCTTGAGCCTGTTTTGTGAAGCTTGTTTATGCACATGTAGAGCACTAATGTTGCCTGACGCCTGGCGGAGAACGTGCTGTTGAATCTGCCTGTGACGTACCAGCCTGTCATTTCACAGCAGTGGTTCTCAACCTCTTTTGTGCCAGGACCCATTTGTAAACATCGATGGCCAGTCCTGACCCAGTGCCCTCCCTATTGACGCGCTGCCCCCCAGGCTTCCAGTGTGTGGGGCAGGGGGAGCCCCAAGTAGCCCCTCATAGGCTAGAGTTCTGCCAGTCTGCAAGGGAGAAGCCAGTTTCCCACATTTTTCTCCTTTAAAGGAGAATCCTTGTTTAAAGTTTGTGACCTTTTCACATATTCTCGTGGCCTACTTTTGGGTTGTGACCCACGGGTTGAGAAACGCTGTTTTAGACAAGGGCCTTGATAGGGCGTGGTTATTTCTGGGTTTAACCATACTGGATCCTCTGTGTGAGCTAGTCTAAGAGACTGCGTTGGAACGTCAGCTGATAGAGAATGTGCCGTTTCATTTAGTGAGGTCTTATGAGCACATAGTAAAAGACTAGCTAGATGTGTCTGAATGTGGTCCACAGAACACTTGTATTCTTTGTGCTACCCTAGCCACCTTTCATTTTCCGATTGCAGTACAAGGGCTCTTAACTTTCATACCCAGACCTGACCTGAGCAGGGTGTGGGACCCAGAGCAAATCAGCCCATGCAGGGCCCCACCCCTGCTCTGATCCCATGGGTCCTGGACCCAAAGAAGCTGCTGCTGCCACCATTGGCAGGTGGGGTAGTAAGTGGCTGGATGCGGAGTTGTGGCTGTGCCCAGCTCTGTGCCGCTGCTACTCTGCTGTGCTCTGCAGGGCCCCCCAAAGCACAGGGCCGAGGGCGGTCGCCCCAATTCACCACCCCCTAGGGACAGCCCTGTGCATACCCCCAGGCAGACTTGGGGGAGAAAGTACTCTTTAAAAGCCACAAAAGCTCTGAGAGCCCCAGAGCACCCAGCTCTTAGAAACATTGAAGCAGCTTCCCCTGCCACACCCCTGGGCACCTCACACAGATTTTGAAGTGCAGGAATGATCTTTATTCAAGTCGATGTTAATGAGAAGGGCAATCGGAAAATTGCAGTTAGTGTCATCTTCCTTAATGTCCAGCCATTCAGGGGCTTTCTCCCATGCTCAGGGAATACTGGGGAAAGGGGACATTGGCCACTGGGTATTTACTAGGCCTGTGTGAATCAGCTAGTGTTTGCTTTGGATTCAGCCAATTTGGGGAACAGTGATTCAATTTGGTGATTCGAATTACTGTCCCAAATCAATTCAGCCAAATCTGATTTGGAGATTCCGCTGCTGCCAAATCTCCAAATCACCCAGGCCCATCCCCTGCCCGCTCTCCAAGCCTCCCAATGGCTGCCCCGCCTGTCCCTGTTCCCAGCACTTGGGGAGCAAAAAAAGCCCCCACTCACTGGGAACTGCCAGGCAGGGGGGTAATCCTTGCTGCCCCCTACTGCCCCATGCTGCATGGAGGGGCTCTGCACCAGCCCCCTGACCCCCCCTGCTCCCCCAGCTCCCCTCATGGCTGCCCTGCCCACCCCAGCTTCGACCCTTTAAGAAAAAGGGCAAACAAAACCCCCGTACTTGCTGTTCCTGTCCAGTGGGGTGGCGATCCCTGCTGCCCTGCACCATGTAGGAGGTCTGCACAAGCCCCCCAAAACCCCAAGGCTGCTGCAGGAGCTGGTGAGTCACAGGGTTTTTCTTACTGTTTTTTTTTTTTCTTAAAGGGCCAGAGCTGGGCTGGGCAGGGGGCTGGGGGAGCAAGGCAGAGCGCCCCCACATAGTGGGGGGCAACAGGGATCACAGCCCTCTCCCCCCTGCCTGGCAGCACCTGGTGAGTGGGGGCTTTTTATTAAAGCACCAGAAGCTGGGGCAGGCAGGACAGCCATAGGGTGGCTGGGGGAGCAGGTGGCGGCCTGGGGTGGGGATGGGGGAGCAGGTGGGGGCTGGCAGGGGTCCTCCCATGGTCTCCTCCTCCAGCCCCCCTGCCCCCTACTTACCAGCTCTGAGTCTGTCCAAATCATCGAAGCTCTCCAAATCTTTTCTGAAGATTCAGAGAGCTTTGAATTGATTCGGACCTTTTCATTGGTCCCCTGATTTGAATCAGGCCCAATCTCCTCCAAATCGAAACAGCACCCAAAGCTTTGCACAGCCCAGGTATTTACTACCACCCCTGGTGGCAGTCTGACAGCACTGCAATGCCTCAAAGCTAACTTCTAATTAGAAACCTTGGCAGTGTGCCATGGACACCTTTAAATCAGGCCAGTTGTGAACTGGGTCCCAAAAGGTGACTTTCTTGGAAGGGGTCAAGTGTTATGTCTGTCTGCACCCTGTGTATGCATGAATAATGTATATGTGTGTGGCTTAGGTCACAAGCACAATTTCTGTTGGGTAGCATTTAGGGGTGCACTGATAGAGATTTTTGGGGCTGATACCGATAGCCAATTTTTAAGCAGGCATATCGGCTGATACCAATCAGATTTCTGATACCAGCCTGGCAGTTTGGAGAGCTGCATGCAGTTAGTAACTCTGCTGTGGGGGAAGGGGCATGGGGGGGCAGCTCAAAGCCCCTGCAGTGAGGGAGGAGTGGGGCTCAGACAAGTGCTGCCCAGCTGGGGCAGAGTGGGCACCGAACTGAGCTGCGGCTTGTCTGGGGGGTGCGGGGAGGAGGAGAGGTAGCTTCCGCTGCTGTGCACCAGTGATCCAAGAGCCACTGGTGTGGTGGCTCCTGCCGCTGTTCCTGCCGCTCGTCCAGGAGGGCATGTGTCCCCAGATCTTCATGGGGCTCTTCCTGGCCTGACCTGCCCTGCGCAGATCTGCGGGCATAGGCCGCCCCCCTGTGCCCTCTTGGACTAGTGGTGGGAGCTGCTGGACAAGTGCTGGACCAGCGGTGCACAGTAGCGGGAGCCCCCCTCCCCGCCCCCCGCCAACAAGCCCCGGCCCCAGCTGAGCTGTGCTCCTCACTGCCTCCTCGTTGCCAGGCTGTACTCCTCTCCAAGCTGCCAGGCTGTGCTCCTCACTGCCTACATGCTGTACATGGACATTTATCAGCCAAATTATCAGCCACGTCAGGCCGATTTCTGATGCAAACAATTTTCTTTATATTGGTGCCGATCTGATAGTGGACCGATGTATCAGTGCACCTCTAGCAATGTTTCATTTATTTAATATGGTAAAAGTACACAACGCTTATCAGTATGTTTTATAGATCACAAAATAAATTAAATGGAAGTTGGTTTTTCAGCTGTTTGTCCACAGGAAAATTAGCATGAAAATTAATGAAACTGCCCAGCTTGAGAAAAGAACAAATATAAAAATAATTTTTAGTTGGCTATAATTCTAATTTCTTTACATACAGCCCTGAAATTATAAGTAATTATGTATTTTCATAAGAAAAACAACTCTAAACAAGGCCTTTTTGATATCCTTAAAATTTACTGTTTTCTACAATGCACAATAATAAAATCAATGTTAATATTATGAACTATAATTTTAGACAGACAGTAGAGATGGAATCTAATTTTTGGACTGGCCATAAAAATGAGGATGAGGAAGAATTCTTGCTTGCAAATGTTGTGGCACTAAGGAGTCAGCTGAAGGAAACTGAGAAAAGTCTGCAAAATCTAGGGGAAGAGCTTTCCAGGTATGTCCGTATGGAAGGGCAGAGGTTTAGTTTGCTTAAACCATCTAGCTGAATCTGTATCTGCTTCTTTCCCAGACCTGAGGAAGAGCACTATGTGGCTGAAAGCTTTTCTAACATAGACAAGAGTTTATCCCAACTCTGCAGTTGATTCTATAAAAGATATCACAAAAAACCCTTGCTTCTTACATTTTCCCAGTTGCCATCACAATTACATCAACACTCCAGCCCTACATAAAGGCAGAAGCAGAAGTAGTAGGCCTTTTGCATGTCCAGTAGTTTTAAATCTGTGCCATACACTATCATCATAACTAACTGGCTTTATTTATGTTTTGCTTCTGAATTCTGTGTTTAAAATAACCTTATTGAGACCTGGGGAAGTGCTTTACTGTTGTGTTTAACTGTGTTTTTTTTTATTAGTTCAAGTGAAGGTTCTCACTGCATTTCCCATTTCACTGAAATTGTGGGACTGTCACTAGAAGATCTTATTCAACCTAATTGCAGTGAATATCAAAATTATTCAGGTCAGAAGAGTGCTTGTAAAGTGTCCCACCAGGACAGGACTCCTCAAAGGAAATCCAAAACCAAAGTAAATACTATTTCTCAGTATTATTAATTTTGACCCCGTATCTGTTTCGCATACATGTACTTGTATAAATGTTTCTTTTTTTATGTTTTTAAGCTTTTGAACAGATGTATAGTAAACACTGGACAAGTCAATCCTAATAACATATTACTGATAGAAATTATGATTTTTATGACTTAAGTAAGATTGTCCTGCAAAAAAGCATTTGTGTGTGTGTATAAAAACATTTTTTTAACTTCTAGTCTCATTCCGTGTCTGCTGCTTTTAATAAAAGCATGGAAAAAGAAAAGGAACATCTTAAAGAGAAGCTGAGTATACTTCATGAGCAAAATTCATCTCTTGTTTCTCAGAACTACTGCCTAATGAATAAAATTGAAACTATCAACTTGGAACTAGCTCAGTCAAAAACAAGAGTAAGTATCTTAACTGGCTGAATGTCAGCTATATCGATAGAAATATATTTTTGTAAAGCCATGTTGTAATTTTGAATAGAATATGCTTTTGTCCCATTGGTTTAATCTTCTTAGGATTTATTGGTATTACTGGAACATCTGGGAGCCCTGGTCTTGAACTAGGAGCCCATTGTGCTAGGTGTTACACAAGTAAAGAAACAAAAAGTCATCCCATACTCACAAGAGCTTACAGCTTAAGATTTTTTTTTTTTAAATAAAGATACTTATCCAATATGAATTACAGTGCTCAAGAAACAGTTTGGTAACATTTTAAGAATTATACACAAGTAAGTCTACAGTATGTCTGCCTGAACTAAATTAAATTCTTCTATATCTGTATAGTGGGACATGTGTCAGCTGAATGTTAGAGATTTGTATAGAGCTGAGGGAGATCTTACTTCCAACTGAAAACCACTGTCTGATAATGTATTAAGAAGTAATTATGAATTGGGAGAAGGGGTATTGCAGACCACAGATAAATGCCAATTTAATTAACATGTTAATAAAGAAAAATACTTGAAGAGAAAAATGGAAGTCCAGGGTCAACAGCAGATGTTAACAAATCACTTTATTATGTAGCATAGACAGGAGGGAACCTCAGGATCTGGCAAGGTAGTGAGAAGAAGGGGAAGTGTTGAAGTCAAAGTGAATCGATGTAGGCATGACAGTTTTCTTCACAGGGCTCAACGTACCACAGACGTTTTTTTTTAACAGCTCTTTAGGATACATCTGTAAATTGTAACAAAACCTCAAATATGTTTGTATTTCAGATCTCTCTTCTTGAATCAGCTTTAGGTACTCATTCAGTCAATATTCCTTTGTTAGAAGAACAGATTGTAAATTTGGAAGCAGAAGTTACAGCTCAAGATAAAGTTCTGAGGTAGCAAAGAAACTTTCCCTTTGATCAGTAGTTTCTTTTGGTCTGTTTCTTTAATTCATAGATTTTTGTAGGCAAACACTGCATGCTAATTATTTTTAATATGATGCTCTTCATGAGAGCTGATTTTTCTAGATCTTGACATTTCTCCTTGAGGAATAGCTGTATGTATGGTAGAGACAACAACATTTGAAACTCTTCAAAATGCAGCTGCACTTTAAAGTGCTTAAATAATGGAGCACTTCGGCCATGGACAGATGCACAATCCCCTACCAGACCTGCTGGCTGAAGTGCTTCCAAATTGCTGCATGCAGCAGCATTCTCTCTAGTCAGAAGGCACAGCAGGAGATTGTAATCTGCAGCTCCACTTCACTCCCCTGGAGTGGACTTGCAATGAGCATATTCCTGTGTACTCTGCCTCTGCTCTCCCAGAACAATTCCACCCACATCACCGGAAGTGGGAGGCTGGAGACCCTGCAGACCTCCTTGTTCTGACAGGAACCAGGTTCCAGTTCCCTATTAGCAAGTGCTCTGCACCCCACAGTCTCCTGCAACCTGCAGCTCCACTCTTCCCCTTCCTCCTTTTTGGCCAAGGAGTAGAGCCAGTTCCCAACTGGCTCCTAGAAAGGTGCAGGATCTCTGATCTCCTAGTTCTGGTAGCAGTGCAGAGGGTCTCCACTCTCCTAGTTTGGGGGGGTTTAGGGTAGTGCTCTGGTAGAGTAGAGGTGGAATGCACAGGGAAGTTTTTGTTAACATACTGACCCACTCTCCTCACTTCCTTCCTTGTGGGGAGTAGGAAGCAGAGCACTGTGGGGTGATGAAGGACAAAATCTTTCCCTGTCATACTCAGTACTGAGTGTGTGCGCATGTAACAGGCAACACTTCAACTTGAAGTGCTTCTAATTAGTTATTGTTTCCTACAGGGTTATTTGTATATCTGTCCACTCACCCTTTGAAGCACTTCAAATGTTATGTCTGTCCTATGTGTATGTTCTTTTGGAATTTTATAATTAGTCTTTAATGTATGATCTGTATTCTGAGAGTAAGTGGTGATTATTAAGGATTGTGATAAAATAAGTACATAGTTTGTTACTTGGAGTAAACACAAATGTGCACCTATAACTGAAGTTATGTAGGCATAGCAGATCTATAACCACTTAGGTTAGTGATTGTCAGGGTACTGCAAGATCCTTTTAAGGGTGCTGTGTAATATTAGAACTGTTAGGTGTGCAAACACCTATGTGTGATTTGCAAGATAAACCCAGGAATTTCATATCGGAATCCAGTGTCAAAAACATTCTGACACGTGTTCTTTTGAAGTTACTTGCAACAAAAATTACTCTCTTTTTTTTTTTCTAGTTAAGAAACAAGTGAAATGCCTAAGAGCTGTCATTTTCTGCAGGGTGCCTTGAGTCTAAAAAAGATTGAAGACCACTGATATAGAACCATTATACATTGAACAAATTTGTTATGCTGTTCAAATTAAGTTCACAGATGCAAAGTGTGTTTATTTTCAGCAGTTGTTAACCAGTAAGGTTGAGAGCCAATTAAATTGATACCAGCTTTTTCCCTGAACTGATGTTTTTATTGCATGTAGAAAAATATTACAGGTATAAAAGTCAAGTCTGCAAGGTGCCCAATCATTGGCTGACCCCATGCTGATTGATGCCACTATGATTTTTATAGTTCTTTTAGAAGGGAAAAAGATGGATATAGGCTTAAAATAAAACAGTACATTAAAACAACCCCACTGATATATAAAGCAGTGTAAAAATATATAATACAACCCTAAAGTCTCATTTGTCCCTCTCAATATGGCAGGGACATCATAAGAACACTTAATCCTTTGCCCCTGCATTGGTGAGACTAAAACAAATATTTTACTGACCACCACTATCTGCATTCTAGACATAATGACAGGATCTGATTGCAGTCTGATAAATTCTGAATGAAATTTGGTAATTTCCTTAGTTGTTTGTATTTTTGTGGCATCCAGAGTCCTGTATGCACACACAACAGTCTTCTAATCAAGAGTCACATATCAAATAATATAAAATGTTATTTAAAATAATTGAAATAAATATAAATTTATTTTAGACAGGTGCTTTTTAATCATACACAACTTTTTTTATTTTTTTTTAGAGATGCAGAAAATAAATTAGAGTACAGCCAGAAGATGGTGGTGGAAAAAGAGCATATATTGCAGAGGTTTAAAGAGGAATGTAAAAAGTTGAAAATGGATTTAATTGAACAGAGCAAGCAAAGAAAGAGGTGACTATGCAATTACAAACAACAAATTCTGAGTAAAAAATAGCATTCTAATGAGCAAGTGCCTATCCTCCAATACTAGATGGTTATTTTACAGCATTGGCTTATTTCTGTGCTCTGTGGATGTTTGAGAAGATGATATTTTTAAATGAAATAGGAAGATCTTGTTTTTTTAAAGCAAGGGTTTTTAGCCTTTTTTGAGGCGTGTACCCATCCTGGTGAGTACCACCATCTGGATGTGCAGCAGGGAGGGTTCCCCAATGACCCATTGCTGAGCAATGGGGGTCCCCTGACAGGCCCATCACCAAGCTGGGGGAGGGGTCCCCTCGGCAGCTGGACATGGACCAGGACTCAGTTTTACACAGTGGCTTCTGCCACATTACACTTAACAAGCATTGTTTTCTTTTTGCAATGTAAGACCTCAGCCCTGCAAAGATTTACTCATGCAAAGAGCTACATTGGGGGGATGGGGGGTGGAGAGAGACACTTGACTCTCAATATATTTAGTTTCAACCTTGGCACTTTTTTAAATTAAAAAAAGACAAAAAAAGTCCTTCCCAAGTACTCCCAGGGGTATGTGTACCCCCAGTTGGCAACCCCTGATTTAAAGGTAACGTACAAAAATATATAAAAGTTGGCCTGTTTTCTTTTTTCATTCTCTATTTCATGATTTAATTGAGGCAGTTTAGCTAAACAAACTGACTGGTACCTATTTTTTGTCTTTATAAAGAAATGCTAAGGTTGAAACTAAATATATTGAGAGTCAAAGTCTCTTCCCCCCCATATTTTTTAATGAATCCACATGGTAATTATTTCAAAACACATATTTAAGAGCTGTGGCTTGATTCTGCATAAGTATCTACTTTACCTTTACACAGTGGAGAAGTCAGTGGCAGCTGTTCCTAAAATGTAGCTCTTTGCATGAGTAAATCTTTGCAGGGCTGAGGTCTTACACAGCTAAAAGAAAAACATGCTTTTTAAGTATAATGTGGCAGAGGCCAAGTTGTTGGGTATAAGAGCTTTTGAAATTCCAGAGGTTTGTGCAATTAATCATTCTGCCTTAACAATGCTCAAATAATTCTTTTTCTTTTTAAAAACAAGTGAAGTAATAATTAGGTCAGTCTGTTTATTTTAATTGTGTTATTATAAGGTATATTTGAATGCATTATCAGAGGAACCCTATCATATGACCCCCAATGCTGTCCATGGATCTTGAATTGGACCTGCCTGCTGATATGGTATGTGCTGGTCCATTCCTATGTGCTGGATGGGGAGCAGGGACCATCTGGTGTGCACTGCTGGCAGTGCATAGGGCCAGTTTGCAAGCCCAATCCAGCCCATGGTCTGGTCCCATACTGCTCATCCAGCCCACAGGGCCTGTGAATTTGACACGCCTAATCTAAGGGTTGCTGCCCAGATGAAGGCTAGGCTTGAATTACGTGATAATTTTAAGAGGGTTCCGCAGAGAACTTCTACCTTCTTGGCCTTGTATCAAGATACATCCAAATGATTATAATATAATATTATTACAAGTAAACCAGATACTTAATAGATGACTCATTCATTCATATAAGACATTAAGCTGATATTTATTTAGAAAATATATCTAAAATGACCAGAAAGTTAAAAGGAAGGCTAGTCATGTAATGCTAGTTATTTACTCTTTATATTTTGCTTTTGTGTAATTTGAGGAGATTGCTATAGTAGTGCTGAATCTGCCCTGTTTAAAAAATATATGGTATTCCCTTTTGTGTAGAGCAGAACAGCAAAGAAATGAAGCTTTGTTTAATGCTGAAGAACTGACTAAAGCTTTTAAAAAATACAGAGAGAAAATAACTGAAAAACTAGAAAAGGTAAGATTTTGATTATCTTTAATTTTTGGCCATACCGCTAGGATTTAAAATAGAAACAGGAATATGTTGGTTCACTGGAAATAGTGTGTGTTTTATAGTTTTAGTTCAGTTTTATTCAGTATGAGGGAGAAAGAAGCTAGAGTGTCTTATTTCCAACCCCTTCACTTAGGTTCTGAGTACGTGGGGGCCTGAGGGCCCTTGCCTCCCTCGGGAAGAGGTAGGGTGGCCACCCATCCCTAATTGGGTGGAACAGTCCTGAAATGGGAACATCAAGTCCCAGTCCATGGCTGCATGACTTCAGGAAACAGCATTTCTCTCGGATTCCCAGTATTGTGCAGGGATCTGGGTTTTCTGTTCATGGAACAACATGGGAAATGGTGGGTTTCCCCTTTTGGGCTGGCAGAGTTCCAAGGGGCTGTGGGGAGCAAGGTGCCAGGTAGGCATGATTGTAGGCACTGTGGCAAAAATAAAAGTTGGCACCTAGGGAGAAACACTTCTTTCCTCTTGCTCTTCCTAACTTCAGAACAGAATATGACAACAGCTTAAATATTCATTGGATAATAATGAAAATGATCTTTTTAGGTTCAGGCTGAAGAAGAAGTTTTAGAGAGAAATTTAATTAATTGTGAAAAAGAGAGAGAAAAATTGCATGAAAAATGTGTTGCTTATAGAAATGAACTTGAAAGCACAGAAGAACAATTAAGGTAAAGAAAAGGGTGTGTGTGTGGGGGGGGTGTAGGTGTGTGCACATGCGCATATGCACATTTTTGTCCTGTTCCTGAATTTGTGCATCTTCAAAGTTGTTCAAGCCATATTGGTTGCCACTGCCATGATTCAGCTCTCTAGTGGTACCTTTTTAATATGGAAAGGAAACTCATTCTTATTTCTGTTCTTAGTTGTTCTGAGAGAAGATTACAAGCAAGTGACAAATTTTCTGTTCTCTAAGTGTAGTTAGTCCTTTTTAGGCATACTGATGAAGGAAGATAGTTAAGCTGTTTTTGTAAGGGGTGCCTTTCCACCAGAATCTTTAGTAGCTTAAGTCAGTGGTCTCCAAACTTTTTTGATCATGCACCCCTATCAGTAAAAAATTTTTGAGCATGCACCCCCAATATATGTATATTTATATAAATAGAAATATAAATAGAAGTTCTAGTATTTTGTTCCTGCACACCAGTGGATTGTCTTGCGCACCGCCTAGGGTGCGTGCACCCCACTTTGGAGACCACTCACTGGCTTAAGTCATAGCAAATTTTTTCCACTCACCTAGAGTTTTTATTTAAATGTATTTTTTGCATTATATACACTTTTTTGTTCCACTAGACTAATAAAAGAAGAGAATTGCAGCACAAGAGAGGAAATTAAGTGCCTAGAAGAAAAAAACACTGAAATTGTGTCATTGCTGACACAGTCTAAACAGAAGATCCTTAAGCTTGAGAGTGAACTTACTGACAAGGAAGTAATACTAAAAGAGAAAAAATCCCTAATAAGTGAAAATGTAGAGCTAAAAGCACTTACTGCACAGCAGACTGATCGCCTGAAGTTATGTCACCAAGAAATTGAAGATTCAAGAGAAGAGCTGGGCACTTTGGAAAGTATTATTTCCCAGTTGTCATTGAGTGCATCTGAAGAGGTATGGCAACTTATATATCATTCCAAATATGTATTGTTCATCTTAATCCTAACTGAATATTGTATGGACATTTTGCTTAGCTAGACCTACCAAATCCCCAGAGCTAGAAAAGTGTCTATTAGACAGTGCCTGAGCTACAGGGCATTTTTAAATGCGACTTGCATGCATTTGTATAAATGGCAAAATGCGTGTCAGTGCTGAGAAAATGGTGGTGGCACGTTTTTGAACTAAAACACATTGAAGTCTGTGATTAATTGAGTCTGCTCAGACATATTGGATCTCTGATGCATCGCAGCACAAAAATTATGTGTATAAATGCCCGTTGTGTCCATCTGTTCCAGCCTTAATAGGAAGACAGGGTAGGCTGAAGAAGTGAGATATTTGGGGAAAGTTCTCTTGTCAGTAGAGCCTGTAACTCTGCCACAGAGAATGAGCTTTCTTTGACTGGCAAGTGTCATGTAAGTCATCAGAATGAAGTCCCGATGCATCAAACTAGAACTTTCACTGGCAAATTTTATCTCTGGGTGGGAGGTAGGCACCAGATACCTAAGGTGAATGTCTGTTTGGGGACTTATGAGGAACAAGGTTAGGGAGGTAGATATGCAGCAAGGCCAAAAGGAGCAGGGTTAGAGGTGGATACTGGTCAGTCCATTTGGCATAAATGGGAAAGGGATACACTGTAAAAATCAAATAACATACTTTCTGTGCAACTTTGGAATTGTCAAAATGGCTGTGTTGGAGATGTAATTTTAGGTTCCAAACCAAGTTTGTACATACTGGCTTATGTACCATACAGAATATTAAGCTTGTACAAAATAGGGACTTTATTGTATTGCAAAGAAATAAAAAGTCTGTTTCTGCATTAGGTCCTTTCTTTTTTCCCTCCCTGAATTTGCAGTTTAAATTGCATCACTCGAAATGTCAGCTGCTCAGTTCCTCCACAAAAGAAGCTAACAGCGCCTCTTGTTGTGAATCAAATAAATTCCTGATTGCAGACCTCAGGTACAGTGCTTAGGCTCCTGAATTATGGCTACACTTTAGAGTGGTAATTAGAAAGAGAGAAAAGAGTATTTTCTTACAACTTGTTTCCTTTTTCTTTATAATAGAATTAAACTGGCAATGAAGGAAGCAGAAATTCAAAAGCTCCAGGCAAATCTAACTGTCAGCAAAGTAGTTCAGCATCTTTCTGATGATCAGCAAAAAGAAAATGGCAGATTATATGGCCTAGAGACAGAACCTGTAAAACTGACTGGAAATCAATCAGGTGAGCAAGATGAAACTATACTTCAAATCTATAAAATTCCTTCTGACATATGTACATTTAAGTGTAAGCGCAGAATCTGCATTAACATTTTTGTGGGCTTCAATTTTCTGTTAACCTATTTAAATAATATGTTTTTAACAATTACATAACAGATGTTTTAAGAACAGCAAGGATTATCTAATCACTAGCTATTTTGGAAGTTATCATTGTCCCAGAGCTTGATATGCATTTTTTTAAATCTTTTTTTCTAGTGAGCTGCTTCTGGCTGGATCAGGACCAGCCACAGAATATGTTAAAATGGAAAACTTTGCTTCTGTCTTGTCTGCTATGCTCAGGTCTTAAGTTTTTCTTTAATTTTTATGTCTATATCCAATTTTTGAGGTTAGTTTTGAGCCGGGGTCTTACATTAAGGTAGTCTGGCAACTTGTTGACATACTGATCTTTTTCTTCTTGATCAGGAGTGTCTTGATTTTCGCTTTCATTTTAATTTGGTCTATTAATTAAACATTTTTCTTTTCTTAAAAAAAAGAGGTGAGAAGATGCCAACAGCTGGAGCTCATCAGCAAACAATTTGAAAAGGAGAAGCGAAGATATACTAGAGAGATAGAAGAACTACATGCTAAGCTGACAAATGCAAAAGAACAGAATTCTTCTTTAAAGACCAGCATGTCCCAGAGAGCCAGTCAGTTTCAGATCATACAGGAAGAACTGCTAGAGAAGGCTGCGAAAACAAGTCGCTTAGAGAGAGAAGTAAGTTAGGAGTGCTGAAAGTGCCCTTTGATCAAGGGTGTAGGTTGTAGCCGTGTTGGTCGAAGGACATAGGCAGACAAGGTTCTTTGGATGAATCTGATAACTTTTTATTAGACCAACTTAAATAGTTGGAAAAAAAATTTTAAGCAAGCTTTTGGGTTCAAAAACCCTTTGTTGGGCTGAGGAAGTTTCAGCAGTTGGCGTGTGCTCTTCCTGGATGGAATGAAAAGTAAAGAAGCCAGAGGCTGGGCTGGTATGCATGCAAGATAGGCAGTCAGTGAAGATGTAGATTGAGGAGTCAATGGGTGAGAGAGAGGTTGGGTGGCAGGGAGAGAAGGGGGATGAATGGTGGAGAAGTACCTGGGGAGTTGGATGTCAGGCAGATTATGATGTGTCATAAATCCAATGTCTATATTTAGTCCATGACTTCTAGTATCCAGGAGGTTGATGAAGTGGAGTTCATAGGCTCGTCTCTGGGAAGTGTTTTGAAGACGACTGTAGAGCAAAACGATTTCACTTGACCAAGAGGGTTCCTAAAAGGGTTGGGAGGATCAGGACTGAGAGATTGGAGAGAGAGTGATTTTGTAATTGGGCTTTTGTAATTGTAAATTTTGTGACAGGTAATTGGGTATTCCTGTCTTTGATAGATTTCCGGTGTGCGTTCATTCTGGTAGACAGTTGTTGTTTGGTCACTCCTACATATTTTCCATTCGGCATTTGGTGCATTGGATGAGAGATATTACATTTCTGGAGGCGCAGCTGTAAGATCCGGGAATGGCTCTGCTGTGGGGTGTAGTAATTGTTGGAGTGGTGGAGATGTGTTGGCAGGTTTTGCATTTCTTGTCATGGCATGGTCTGGATCCATATGGTGTGTTCTGGGCCTGAGGAAGTTTGCTTCTGGTGATGAGGTTAGCAAGGTTCGGTGCTTGTTTGAAGGCTAGGGTGGGTGGCTCTGGGAAGATCTCTTTAAGAATAGGGTCTCTTTCTAGTGTGGGTTGCAATTGTTTGAGGATTTTCTGTATGGGTTCAAGGGAGGGGTGATATGTCATAACCAGCTGTGTGTGATTTGTGGGAGTTTTTTCTTCTGTACTGCAGCAGTTCTTCATGTGGTATCCAGGTGGCTCTTTCAAATGTGCAATCTATCTCTCTGGAGGAGTGTCCTTGTTGGGTGAAAGCCTTTTTAAGATTGGTGAGGTGGCAATCCCAGATGTTCTTTTCCATGTAAACTCGGTGGTATCTGAGGGCTTGGCTGTATATCACAGCTTTTTTGGTGTGTTTAGGGTGATTGCTGGTTCTGTGCAGATATGTATGTTGGTCTGTGGGTTTCTTGTATAACGCGGTTCGTAGTTTATCATTCTGGATACCCTTTGATCTTTGTTGACACAAAACTGACTATTTTTTCCTCTTTTGAAACCTGTTGTTATTGTATTTGTTTTTTGGATGCAAGCCTGTTTTAAAGTTTGTCTAAATTAATATTTATTGGGGAAAAAAGAATTTTAAGACAGAGATCCATCTTAGTGTATTCTTAACATAAGAAATACTTAGTTCTGAAGTTTCAGTATAAGGTATAATTTTGTTTGCATTCTTATGTTGAAAATGTGCCATCTAGCGATTGAAACAGATGGTTATTTCAGGATGTATTCATGCTGTCAACAAATACGTGCACATGTTTAGATTTTGATGTAATAAGAAAAAATTCAGACACTTTTTTTTTTTTAACAGCCAAAACTTACTTGAGAGACGTGCAAGAAAATAGGGCAGTTAAAGTATCATTGGGGGTGGAGGGGAAGGAGGGGGGACACAAATCCGGAATACTGCCCTGGGCCCTGTGCTTTGGGGGGCCCCACAGAGCCGGGCTGGCTTTACATCTGGCCACTTGGCTGCTGCTGCTGTTTCCGAGCCCTGAGCCCTGCTTCGATCATCTCTGTCTGCAGCTAGGGGGTGCAACACAGGATTGCTGCATAACTGGTTTAACAAATTAATGAATGTGTTGGTGGTGGCTGTGGCATGAGGGTTACCGCTATTGCCACTCATTGCCCCTACTGCTAATACACATCCCTGGGGCTGGAAACTCAGTGGCCAGCCTAGCCTTTGAATTCCCATCCCTTTTAGGAGCCCTCTTGGTCAAGTGAAATTGTTTTGCTCTACAGAGTCATCTTCACATTACTCTCAGCAAGGTGTACGTATGCTATGTATATATCATTGTGCGTTTTCTCTTGCTGTTCTATGACTCCTAATGGTTTATGTTTTATTTTCAGATAACAAAAAAATCCTCTCAGCTTTCTGCACTTGAAAAGCAGCTGGAAGAAAAGACAGTTGCTTTTTCCACTGCTGCTGCCAGAAATGCTGAACTGGAACAGGAACTTATGGTAGGAAGCTTTCACTTTAGAAATTCCAGTCGTGTAAAACAACAATTTGAGGGGGGCGTTACTGTGTACTTGCAGTGGAAGAATCTTCATTATGCAAGACAGATAGCCAATATTATCTGTCAGCATAGGTCATATTGTTTTAATAATCTGGATAATTTTGCTTTCAACAGATGCTATATTTTCTTTGCTTGAACAGAGGTTGAAATTCTTAAAGAAATGTAGTTTGTTTACTTCATACTAAAAGTATACCGAAAACCTCTCTCATTGAAGCTAGTGGGAGTTTTGTCATTTACTTCAATGGAAACAAAATTTTTCTATCTTTTTTTAAATGCAGGAAACAGTGGGGGGTTCTACAAGGAAATATGTTCAGTCAAAAATATTTAATGATCCTAAACATTCCTTTTCCATTTGTTTTTGGGTTTTTTTTAAACTTAAGGTCATGAATAAAGTATTTTATATTTTGGTCTTCTAAATGCCTTTATATTGCAGTAAAACTATTCTTCCAGTAAAATATGAGAGGCTGAGAGCTATAGGACTTTTCAGCCTGGAAAAGCACAGGCTCAGGGGGGACCTGGTGGCTGTCTTTAAGTATATAAGGAGCGTACATCAGGATCTGGGGGAACACCTATTCAGCAGAATGCCTCACGGGATGACAAGGTCAGACTGTCACAAACTCCTCCAAGACCATTTCAGGCTGGACATAAGGAGGAACTTCTTCACTGTCCAAGCCCCCAAGGTCTGGAACAGATTGCCGCTAGAGGTGGTGCAAGCACCTACTCTGGATTCCTTTAAGGGTCAATTGAACATCTGTCTTGCTGGGATCCTGTGACCCCAGCTGACTTCCTGCCCCGGGGCAGGGGGCTGGACTTGATGATCTTCCGAGGTCCCTTCCAGCCCTAATATCTATGAAATCTATGAAATAAAACAGTTTAAAGCTGAGTGGCTTGGGGTAGAGGATAAAAGAGTGGACTATAGGAAGTAGTGAAGGTTCATAGTAGTAGTAAGCTGTTTTATATAAATATTCTAAAAATTCCCAAGTTAATGATTCTTTTTGTAATTTAAACATGGTTATGTGCCTGCAACTTGGATCTGGAGCACTGTCCATCTCTCTCTTACATAAAATTTTATCACTTTGTCTAATCTACTTTACTTCTCCGAGTTTCTTTTTCCTAATTTGTGAAATTGAATATCTGTAGAGGGCACTGATAGATCTTTAGATAAGTGTTAGAAATGTATTGTTATTAGGCAATAATGTAGCTGTAGCATATGTTAGTAGTTAAAATATTGGTTTTAGGATACCTAGATTCCATATGTTCAAGTCCAAGTGTTGCTGATTAAGACTTCCCTCCCACCTTGTTAGATGGTCAAACGGTTTTTCCAAATGAGATTTTAACACTTTAGGGACCTGTCTGTTCTGAATAGGCCATGGTTCTTTCAGTGAGAATAGTTCTTTGCCTTGCTGTCCTTTTCAAATGTTTCACTTGTTCCTGATTGTTGTGATCTGTGTCTTTTGTCCTCTGACATTTGCCTAATCTGTGCAACATAGCTGCATTCCAGTATTACTCTGTATGTATGCTGTGGCACATAAAATGCTTCGAGATGAATGGAAAATGTTATTATCTGCTTTCATTATTTTTTTTGTTTGTTTTATAAAGTCTGAGAATTTTGTCTTTTTATTGCTGATCTCAAAAGATCAATACATACCTATCAAGGATTGGTTTTGTTTCAGGAAAAGAATGATCAGATTCGTAACTTGGAAACAAGTATCAATAAAGAACATGAGCACGTAACTATTTCCTTTGAAAAAGCAAAGTTAATTCATCTTGAACAGCATAAAGAAATGGAGAAACAGATTGAAATAGTAAGACATTGTATACTAATTAGTATGGGTTATATGTCGATATTTTTTCCTTATTGTTTAATATACCAATCTTTATTCCTCAGTGGTTCTTGTCATGGGGTGAGATCCCCAGGGGTGGCCGTGATGTCCTGGTGGCTCTGTGACCATGCAAGCTCTGCCCTGAAGGCACCCTCTTATTTTGCCTGCCACATCTTTGTTCGAAAAATAACTTGGGAAGCTGCCCACAAGCCTTCGCTTAGTCTTGGTTCACTGAACCTTATTTGAGCTTTCTAATCTGTAGGCCCTTTACCAGGTCTTTCTTTAGTATGGTGCTGCACAAAACAGCTCAGGCCTTATGGGCCAATTGTGTGGCTCCAGGTACCCCTTTACCACGCCCCGTGCCTCGCAGGTGTTACATTGCTGTTATGCTCTGTTGGGGCCTTGGCCCAGTCGGACTCTGCCCCTCTGATATAGCTAGGCCTTCTAGCCTAGACCCACTGTTGGGCCTGGCTTTGAAGCACTAGCCCACGAACTCCTCTTATTACTGGGCCCTTGGCCCTAGCAGCTTGCATCCCTCTGGTGCTGGGCTCTCCGGCCCCTTGCAGCTCATGCCCCTCTGGTGCCGGTCTCTCTGCAGCCCCTGGGATTGTAGCCCTCTGGTACTGCGGCTCTGCACAATCAGGTGCCCCCAATGAGGCCGCCTCCTCTCCTGTTAGCCTCTTCCCGGTCCACTGGTTCAAACAATAACACAAACTTAAGCCCCTGGGCTACAACGTAACATTAATAATAAAGGCAGCACTCTTCCCCTTTAAGAGGGCCAGCCCTCACCCTTAGAATATTATCCCTTTTATCTCTGGGCACATTGTGAGCCCCTAGAGTCTTACTGCATTTGGCGATAGCAAAGCAGGCAGCTGGATGCATTGGGCCACTCTCTTGTGCAGTTGCCAAAGAGAGAGTGACCCCAGGCCAGCCTCAGCCCTGAGCTTATATGTGCCCTGGGCTCTGACTCCTTCCGGTCAGCTGACCACCTGTAGGTGCTGGCTAATTACCTGATTATCTTACTGTCAAAGCAACCTGCAGCTGTGGAGCCCTGCCTAGCTTTTTGGGCTCCCTAGCTAAGCTGACTTTGCTCCTGAAGGATCAGGCACTTCTTAGTGCCCTGTGACAGTTCTGAGGTTGCTAACAAATTAGAAATTCATGATACTTTTCCCTTTAATATTTTTGATTCTAGTGATATGAAGACTCATGCTGTTTCTCTGAGAGAGATGCATCTCCTCTCTTCCATCTAGAAGGAATTTTAAATGCCTCTATAACATCATTACCTAACTCCCCTAAATTTCAGAAAGGCATCTCTAGAGGTCCTGAATCTACATTTGGGGAAAAAGTAGACCGGGGTGGGCAATTATTTCAGGTGGAGGGCTGCATAACGAGTTTTGGTGAGCTGTCAAAGGCCGCATGGGTAGCCCTGCCCCTTAACAGGTGCCCTACCCCTTGGTTGCCATCTTGCGCCTGGAAGTCCCACCCCTAACCCCTGACCTTTTCCACCAGAAGTTTCTCTCCTTGCCTCCCTGGAAATACTCCTTTGGGGGGTTGCCTTCTTAGAACCAGAAAAAAACATCATATGCTACAAGTCAAACACCTACTATAACATATTTTTATTTTATTTAGAAATAACATATTGCCATGATTTGGGGGGTGGTGTTTAGGGTGGGTTGTGGGGGGAGTTTGTGAGGTGGTATGGCTGTGTGTGGGGGGCATAGAGTATGTTGGGGGGATGTGGGGCGTTTGTGGGGTGTGGGTGTGTGGCTCTGGAACATAGGTCTCTGGAACGCACTGTCCTCTGCTGCAGTTAATGCAGGCAGTGCTGTGGGGAGGAGGGTGTGTCTGTGTCTGTGTGAGTGTGTCTGTATGTGTGGTTTGTGGGGTGTGAGGGAGGGTGTGAGGAGTGTCGGGACCCCTCCCACACTTCCAACATGGCACAGCAGCAGGTGGGGGTGCTGGTGCCTGCCACAACAACAGCAAGGAGTGCAGCCCCTGCCAGATGTGAGGGAGGAGGGGTATGGGGACCGCCCCCACACTTCCCCCATGGTGCACAGCCCAGGCGGTGGGGGTAGCAGCAGCAGCTGGGGGGCCCCCTGCCCACCCAGGCTTTGTGCTGCTGCCACCCGCCTGGACAAAGGTTCTGCGCTGCAACCTGCCCCTGCTCCCCATTTCTTTACCTGCTCCCCAGAGGGAGGGAGATGTTGGGAAAGCCTGCAGCAGCAGCCCAGCCCCATGCTATACTGTTTATTTGTACTCACTTTTCACTTTAATCAACAAGGTACTTTTTAAAATTTGTTCCTAAATTGTGCAATATTATTAGTGGCTTCAGTATGATGTCGTTTTTATTCACTCTAGGGGTGACTGTATGTGGCTGGGGGTGAATGAAATGTAACTATATGTTTGGATGTTTCTGAGTCTGTTAATAAGCTTAATACTCTATGTAACAAAAAAATCCTTGTGTATAGCTTCAAACACAGCTGAATAAGAAACATGAGCAATTTAATGAGCAAGAGAAGACAATGTCCATTTTACAACAAGATATTCTGTGTAAACAACAACATATTGAATCATTGGATCAGATGCTGATAGAAAGCAGAGAGGTAACTTTGATTATTCTGCCTAAACGCAAACCCAGCAATGATTGACTAATGGTCAGAGATGATAAAGTGGGTTCTTCTTTATTGTTTGTCTTTGGACATAGGAAAAACTGGGGTGGTAAAAGTTTATGTTAAGCTGTTTTTATTGCTTCCTAATTCTGTCTTCAGTCCCTGATAAAACCCTGAGTAGACCCAGATTTGCTCTAAACTAATTGCTCCCTATAACCTGTTGTGCTAGCAAAGAATAGCACTATGGCCAGACCCTGTCTTGGACTTTAGCGTTCTTCCTCCCCTAAGGACAGGGAAAGGAGTCAGCATAGAGCCATTTGATCTGCTTTACACAGTATGAAGAGTGTTCCCTTTGTAGTCTCTTACTGCCATAAGAGATGTAAAGCATAACACAAAATCAGGAGCAAACTCTCTAAAGTACAGTGCATTCAAATAGACTATAAATACAAATATTTCTATCACTAGCACTTTTCCTCTTTTGTTATGCTGTTTCCAATAGCATAACTTGTATATGTGCAGTTACAGTCACATCTTGGTTTTTTTATGTGCAAATCTGCATATAACAGGAAATGGAAAAGCAAAATGTCAAGAAAGATGAGGCTTTGAAAACTTTGGAAAACCAATTAACTGAGGAAATGGTCAAAGTGAGTATGCTTTTTTGTTTTACAGTTAATACTTTTTTCTTTTTTAATTTGTGGTAGTTATGACTTTGAAGAGGCTGAGAACTAATTTCCATTTTCCAGGAACAAAATGTAACAAAGTTACTTTATAGAAATCTGGCTTATGTAGATATTCCAGAAGTCACTACTTTTCAATATGCCTGTCATCCATTATTTAAATAAATACAGTGACTAGACTGTGCATGAGCAAAAATGTTTTTGATGAAAATGCTCGTCATAAAAGTAGGGCAGCCTCACACTTATTATGTTGTGGCAATATTTTGGAGAAGTTTTCAAAATAAAATACTGACTAAACAGAATGCTCTTTTCTGCAGGTTTAGAAGCTGTGTTTAAATTAAATGAGTGGTTCTCAGGTGGGGTGCTGTGAGACCCCCATGGGAGTGCCATACTGTAGGTACCACCACCACAATAGCAATGGCCAGGTGAAAAGTGGTCTGTATACAGGGTTTACAGCTTGCACGGACTCCTGCCTGAGGGTTTTTCAATAACCCTAAAGCAGGCAGGAGAGCTGGCTTGAGCTATAGTTCTTCCTGGTTTTCCCCCACCCCGCTTCCCCAACACCTCCCAGGAATAGAGTTCCACCTGTCACATGCGCCTGTTTCTGGGAGATGCTGTGTAGAGCTGGACTGGGAAAGGATGCAGCATGAGCTGGATTTCCTGCCTGCTGTAGGCTGATCAGAGAACCTTAGTACAGGATGAGTAAGTGCATGTGCTACAGTCCTTTTTAGTCTGTCACTTTTACCCATTTGAGGTAAGTTGAATGCCACAGTGATTCTCAACTGGGGGTACTACCACACTGAAAAAATTGGGGAGTGTTGCCCTGACTTTGAAGAGTTTGAGAACCACTGATTTAGATTGGGGTGCTCAGCCTCTGGCCCCCAGTACTGTGACATTTGCCCTGCAGATCTCCCCACAGATTTGTGAGGAGTCCCAGGGGCTGTAGCTCTGTGTGCAAAACTGGGTGTGTGGGACAGTGATCCTGGCCAGGTGGGGGCAGCATGGGGCCCAGTCTGGCCTGCGGACTGGCCCTGCATTTTCATCTAGCTTGCAGAGCCAAAACCATGAGCATTACTGATTTAGATTAACTAGTAACTTAAATTTAAGTTTTCTCATCCTTTTTAAGCCCACATATGTATTTTTCCTGTGTCTGTCTGGTAAGCCTTTTCTGTACAGTTTTGACAACACTGGCTTTTTTACTCTGTGTACAGTGCATGGGACCAGCGTGGTGTGTACTGGCTTTAGTGCACAGGGACAGTCTGCTGCACATATGCCAGACTGTCTCTGCGAATGGCATGCAAAGCCTGGGGCTGGAGCCAGCACATGCCGCATGTGGTACATGGAGTTGGTCCAAAACCTTTGGACCAGATCCTAAGGCTCCATGGGCTGGATGTGGCCTGTGGTTCATATCTTTAACAACTGGTTTAAATAGTTTTTCCATTGAGATTAAATAGATTAAAATAAAACACAGTAACCATAAGAGAGTGGAATTAATGAGAAATTTTAATTCTTTAGACTTTTTTAGTATTTCTGAACAACTAATTATTTTAAATGGTCTGATGCATATAACTAGGGCAGCCAACTTGAATCAGCTCTAGACATCTGTAAAGAAGAACTTGCAGTATATTTGAGTCAGTTAGATGAAAGTAAGGACTCATTTGAAAAGCAGCTAAAGAAGAAGTCTGAAGAGGTAACATTTATTTTATCTACTTTTTAAGTTGTAATGGAAACAAAGGTTATACATTATGAAATATTACTTCTTTTTAAAATAAAAGAATGTCATCATGGTCCAAGGAAGAAGTAGAGTGTGTGTATGCCTCTGAACCTGTGCCTTCTTGTGGCTGGGATGTGTTAGGGGTTTGAGTTCATAATAAAGTAGGGTTCAAAGCCATATAGATTTTATTTTACGGTTCTTATCATTCACTAAGAAAAATGTGATAAGCAACTAAATGGGAGCAAGTTAAAGTTATAAATATTTCCTTAGTTGCTATAATAGAAAGCTAACATATTTACAGGTGCAAAGGTTACAAAAAGAAATAAAATTAAAAAATCAGAATCTTCAGGACACAAGTGAACAAAATGTCCTCCTACAACAAACTTTGCATCGGCAGCAGCAAATGTTACAAGAAGAAACCATTAGAAACGGAGAGCTAGAGGACAGCCAACTTAAGCTTGAAAAACAGGTACAGTACATTTGTTTATAATGAGAAGAATTTAATAGTGTAGATGAGGATAAATACTTAAATGTATTTATATACATTTCTGTGATATTTTAATATCTGAATGTCTCTTTGATGCCTACTTTGTTTATAATTTTAGTTATCAAATGTAGCTGAAATAAATAGTATAGAAGCCTGGTTTTAAGAGGTGCAAAATACCTGCAACACCAGTCCATTTCAGCTGGAGCTGTGGATGCTTAGTACTGTACTCTGAAAATCAGACTTTGTAGATTTTAATTAAAAATAAGCTGGAATACAGAATGTTAAGTTTAATTACTATGAGTTTAAGAAATTGTGTGTTTTCTGAAAATACAAATTTCTGTTCTTTGACTTTTCTCTGCTTAGATTCAAAAACTGCAAATGTCATGTCTTAAATCCTCCTTATGTGTCACTTTGAAGAGATTATGTACCTTAATTATTAACTTAGAACACTATATTAAATAATATTTTAAATAGGTATCTAAGCTAGAGCAAGAACTTCAAAAACAGAGAGAAAATTTAGAAGAAGAGTTGAGAAAAGCAGAAGGGAAACTCAACATAGCTTCTCAAGAAGCAGATTTAAAAAGACAGAAAGTCACTGAACTTACTAGCACAATCAGGTACGTTTAGAACATTTTTATGTTCTCTGTTAGTTTCATGTTGTTATACTACTAATTTTTAATATAAAATGTGATATTCTTAAGGCATCAAGCTGTTTAATAGGTACCTTCAGAATAATACTTTCATAGATTTTAAGGCTGGAAGGGACCTCGGAATGAATCAGCAAGCTGCGTAAGTCTGCATAATTTTAAGCGAGCGAGTAGTTGCCCCATACCGTGTTGAATTATGGACTTTTATTTTTAGCTTTGTGACATTTTTATGAACTTACAAATGGTTATCAAGACTAGTCCTGTAATAGGCCTTTTTTCAAGGAGAGTTCATAAATACTATGACTTAAGTGTCATACCTGGAGATAGGTGCCTTCTTGAAACTGGAGCCTGAATTAATTGAGAAGCAATAAATACTGATTTTATTATTGAACTTGCCATTCTCTTTGTTGAATAATGGAGCAGAAAACCCCTCTAATATCTATTTCAGGACATAAATTTGAAATATAAGATATAAAAACCCCCCAAAATAACTTACTATCTACAGTGCACAGTTACTGTCGTTCATTTCTGGTTAAGATTAGTTAAACCAATTCATTTGAGTTCCTTTGCTTTTTTCCCCACTGATTCCGTATCAAATATGTTCAATTTAGAAATAAAAGTGAAAGGATAAAGTAAACTAAATGTAATTTTTCTTTTGGGGACACTGTCGAGGATTACTATTTGAAATGCAGTTAGAAAGACTACAGTTTAATTGACTTGTTTAACCCATTTACTCTTGAAATGGCATTCAGCAGCATACAGAGCTGATAAATCTTTGAATAAATCTGTCCGCTTGTGTTCATTCCATACGTAGATCATTGGAACAGGTATGAAAATAGCAGTCTGTTATTGTACTGGCTTTTTAAGCAGGAAGGAGGGCTGGCTTCACCTTATTTTAATCAGCTTCTGCTTCTGTGATACTGTAAAATTAGGATTTGGGTGATAGTTTGAAGTACACAGTCATTACAGAAGCTAGGGAAAGAACCAAGGAGCAAGGGAAAGAACTCAGCTTTTAGGTGCCTCAAGACTGTCTCCTCATCGAGAATTGCAGGGACCAAGGAAGGCTGCAGGAGTCCTTGCATTTGGGATTGGACTCAGGCTGATAGAGAAGGAACTTCTGTGAACTGTAGCCTTTTAATAATTTGCCTAGGTTTTTCTGTAACCTGTACATTGTGCTTTTGAGGCAAGGGCCTGAGACTCTGATATGAAATCTGCATATCATAGGCTGGCAGGTGTTAACAGTAATATCACTTCTGACATTCAAAATTAAATAAGACTTATGCATTATAAATAAAATTAAAATTGGAGTGGTTTGACATACTTTACCTTGTCTTATTAGTAGTGTGGGCACACAGCTAATACGTTTTAGACTTTATGAATGGGATTATAGAATTATAATTATAATTTTAGAATGTGATTATGTAATGTATTTAACAGACAGTTTAAATGTGATTATGTAATGTATTTAACAGACCAGGGGCTGGTCATAATAAGTCTGGAAATCCTTTTCACTCCCATGTTCCTATGTATATACTTAGGTAGTCTTATGATGATAAGAAAATTGATCTATTCTCCTATAATATGACCAGGTTTTTTTACCCATGGCATTGTTTACTTGCATTATTACTTCCACTCACTGTATTAATACTTGGCACGTATATAATACTTGTAAATTAATTGCCTGGTAACAGAAAATACAAATTTAATCTAGCCTTACAAGAATTTTGTGAGTGGTCTTAAAAGGAAGGGGAACTGACGTAAAAGGACAGCATTGCTTTTTTGCAGATATTAGAGTAGAATCCAGATTTCTAGATGTTCAAAAACATATTAATCACAGGTGCATACTTATTCCTCAAAACATACAAGTGTTTGCATATGTTGCTTATATTATTTCATAGTTTGTTAATATTTATTAATTCTCCTTGCTGTCTTTTTTTATTTAGGCAGATTAAACTAGAGATGGATCAATGCAAAGATGAACTTATTGATATGGAGAAAGAACTAATACAATTAAGAAGAGATGGTGAAACAAAAACAATGCAGCTAAATCAGTTAGGAATTACTTTGGAGCAGTTGCAGTCAGAAGTACATAAAAAAACAAACCAAGGTAATTTAATGTATTTTACCCTTAAAACTTTCAGTTTAAGGTTATTTTGCTTCTGCTTTATGTATATGTTTTTCCCTGTCCAGTTATTTACTCTGTAGTTTACTTACAAGTAATGCACACAAAAGGCATATGGAGAATCCAACTGCCAAATACCCATGCCTGAGTAGTGCGTGGAGACTCGTAGTTAGCTGTGTTAGTCTGAAGTCTGGCAGAAGGTACAAAATTGACCCCTGTTTTCTGCCTAAACAGTGAGTGATCGCTGTTCTTAGTACTTTTGGGGCAAACACCACATGTCTGCCAACCTTCCTAGACACTAAAACTTTGCAGTCAAGCCATCTAGACCCTGGAGCTAGTACCACAGTGTACTCAAGCAACCCTCCCAGCCCCAGAGCCTGCCTTCCTGTGTAGGAGGTCTGGTTTCTTGCTTATACTGCCATGTTAACCTTACAATATTTCAAGGTACCTGGGCTTAACAAAGGAAGGTTCTATCCAGTTCTAATGTGCATTTCTTCAGGGGGGGGTTTCCATGACTTCTGTGAGCACAGCATTTGGTCTGAGTCACAGGTTGGCTACGATGTCTGGCTGTCTTACTTCTGATGGTAGGTTGGAATCCCTGGCCTAACAAAGCACTCTTTTTTGTGGTACAAGCCCCGGGCTTCACCTCTGCCATCTCTTCTTAGGTACTGTGTAAAGAAGCATCAAAAGTCAGTGGCCTTTTTAAAACCTTGCATACTGAATACATCCCTCAGGTTTCTAGAAATGCAAGTCTCAAAATATCTGAGAATGAATAAATTAGTAATTTTTCAGTCCAGAAATCTAAAGGGGTTTTATTTCCCCTTTTGTCAATGTTACAGTAGAATTAGAATCTAATCCACAGTGAATACTTGGCTTTTATAAAACAGTAGAAATAATAATTTGATACAGATCTCTCAACCTTATTATTCTTTCAGTAGAAAAAATACTAGCCTGCGAGGCCATTCTGTCCAGCCCATGGGTCCCAGCCGGCAGGGGCTCTATGGAGCCGAGCCAGCTCCCCCTTCTTGCTGCTGGTACAGCCCAGCCTGGCTCCATAGATCCCTGCCAGCCTGTGGCCTGCTCTGTGCCCCACTGGTGCTGGCCCTGGGACATTGGTCCCAAGATGGTGACCGGGGTTGGGGACCACCCATTAAGGGGCAGGTCCAGGCTCAAGGCATTTTTCCAACCCTTCTTCCCATGTCCTCAAGACCTTTCTGACTAAGAACTGGCAAAATCTCGTCATTTTCTCTTCCCCTTTTACTCGCACCATGTTCATCACGCTGATAAATTTGGTGTACGTAAACACCTCTGTCAGGCATTCCCCATCCTCCTCCTTGTTTTCTCTTGTATGTTTGTTGCCTTGCCACCCACTCTTTTTTTTCTGCCCTTTGAAAAAGGTTCTTAACTCTCTCTGTATCTGTCATGCTTGTCACCATGTTGAAGGAAACACAGTTCCTACATAGAGGATCACAGGTAGTAATATTGCCTTTACTGGTTCCACTTTTCCTTGTTTAGACAGCTGCCTCTTTCTCCAGACACCTATTATCTGTTGTATCTTGGCAATTTATCTTTACCCAGGCCTTGTCACCTTTCCCTTTCATGTCCATCTGTATGCCAAGGATTTTCATTTCCTCTGTTTGGAGCTGCAAACTGTAGTCTTCCAGCCCTTCCCAGTTCCCTGTTTCCATTAGTGTGGTCTTATTTTTATTAATTTTTGCACCTGCTCCCTTGCTGTAGTCCGTTGCATGTTTCAACACTCTCAGTCGACAGCTTATCTTGGCCAAATATTGTGATGTCATCCATATATAATGTGCACTTAATTTCTTCTCTGCCAGGGGTATTCACCCATGTGATCAACCTTTCTCTTTTTATTTTCTGGGCCAATGCTTCTATGACACAAACAGCTCTGCTGATATTGGGTAGCCCTGTCTTACACCAGATCTTATCTCAAAGTCCCAGCTCAAGTGACTGTTTATCAATATCCGGCTTTTGGGTGTCTCATCAAAGAATGTTCCAGGCCATACAGTTGTTGTATCTGGGAATCCCATTTTCCTCAGGATCACGAGCATGAACTTATGCTCTACTCGATCGTGTGCTTTCTCCAAATCTATATTCATAACCAGTGTGTTTCTTTTCCTCTCTCGGACATCTACCAAGTGTCCCTTATTTTAATCATAATGCATCCACAGTTCTTCTCCCTGGTATGGCACACGCCTGGTCCTCATGAATCAATTCTGATAAATTGTCTCTTATCTTTTGGGCCAAAAACTTTTACAAACATTTTATAATCTGTGTCGAACAGTGTGATTGGTCTCCAATTCTCTAGTTTTTCTTTCTCTCCTTTTTTTAATGATAAGGACTACGACTCCCTCCACAAACCTTTCAGCTATTTCACCCTGCTCCCAGGTTCTGTTCAATAACTCTACTGGGTCCTGCCCTATGTATCCCCAAAATTTCTTATAAAATTCACATGGTAATCCATTTCAGCCTGGTGTTTCTCCCCTCTTTTTAGTTTTCTCATTGTTTCAAACACCTCTTTAGGGGTGATTTCTCTTTCCATCTTCACTCTTTCTTCTTTGTTTATTCTTTGTACAAGTTCCTCTACAAATGACTGGACTTTCGTTTAATCTGTCCCTTTACTTTTATACAATACTTCATAGTAGGATCGTGCCACTTCAGGCACTTCTTCCTGTCTCATTACTGTTTTCTCTTCTGTTGTCATTACTGTCAGCAGTCCCTTTTTTGCTGCTTTGAGTTTGATTGAGAAATAGTTATTCCATGTTTCTCCTTCTTCTGGCCATGGTGCTCAAGTTAAGAAAATCTTCTCTTTCACTGTCTTCCTAAACCATGTGTTGATTCATCTCTTGTTCTCTGCAATCTCTTCTTTCTTGTTTTTGCCTTATGCTGCTTGTTTTTGCAACATCTCCAATTTCCCCTAAAGGGTTTTCAGTTGTCATCTCTACCTTTTGCACTTCCGTCTGTCCTGCTTTGTGGAAGAACTCTTCTGTTCATTTCTTAATCAGTCTCCACCAATACCAGGGGTTTTTTAAGTATTTTTTCACTGTTTTCTAGTATTTATATCGTGCTGGCTATTCCTTGCAGAGTTGTTCATTTTCTGATAATTTTGTGTTTAGCTTCCACACCCATTTCCCTCTCTCTTCTGGCCTGTTCTTAGTTTAACTTCTAGTGCTCACTAGTTACTCATTGCAACCGGTGTTACATTCTTTCATATCACTTCCAGTCCCTCTGATGCTAGGACTACATCAATTCTTGAGGACCTCCTTCCTCCGGGGTCAAATCTTGTTGCTGTTCTGGAGTTCACCCATACATCTACCAATCCTGCATTTTTAATCATTTCCCTTAGGATTTTTGTCAATATATCCATTGTCTTGTCGGTGCTACATCCTTCCTGGGCTGCTTCTGCTACACAGTTGAAATCACCTACAGTGATTCGTTTTGTACCCCCATGCATGTATATTTCTAGTTTCTGGAATAATTCTGTTCTTTGAGCACTGTTTGTGGGTGTGTAGACATTAAAGATTTTTATCTCTTTCTCCCATTGTTATCACTAGTTTCAGTATGTGCCCACACACTATCTCTTGGAATTGTTTGACCTGTACTCTTGGTCCCGCTGTCCATCTTTCCTTCAAATGTCCGTAATCATTCTCCACTAATATGCTGCATTCTTGAAGACCCATTATAGCTGCTTCTAATCATTGTAAGATGCGTTCTACCTTTCTCCATTTGTTCATTGTCTGAATTCTTATTACATTTAAAGATGTTATTGTAATCTCCATCAGGATCTTTCTCAGAGGTCTTCCATACTACTGCTTTCTGATGTCGTGGGTTGTTTTCCTTCTTCCAGCCATATTGTTATTTTTGGTCTGGTTTGCACCTTTCTATTCAGAGCTGGATCTTCTTCCTCTGCTTTATTTTCTCTCACATTCTTCTATATCCCCCCCATCTACTTTTCCACCTCCTTTTCCTTGCTTGTCACGTTTCCCCCCACATGTTCTACCTTTTTCTGGCACATGGATTTGGACTTCTTCCTTTTCCCTTTTGGTTTCCCAGCATCCTCTTCCTGTCTGTTTCCTTCCTCCATTTTCTGTGACTCCTCGGTTTCATTCACATTTGTTATTTCTACATCAGAGCTATCTGTGTTTTGCTGTACCTCTTCCTCTTCCAGTATCGTTGCTTGTCCGGCTGCTTGTGTTATAATGTCAGTGCTTGGTCTCCTCTCCAGTTCCAGCTCTTGTGGTGTTTCATCTTCTGTGTGGATTTCCATTTGCTCCACCTCTGTTTTTTGTGTTCCTCTTACTTCGCTGGCATAGGCAATAGGGCGGTTCCTATAAAGGTGCCCTTCCTCCTTACAGATTGTACAATTAAGTGTCTCCTGGCAGTCTCTGGCTCTATGGCCTGTCTCATTACATCTGTAGCAGCAGGTTGATGCACAAAATGCTGCAGTGTGCCCTTCTTTCCCATACTGACTGCATATTTTGGGCTGCCCATGATACATTATGTATCCCCTTTGGGGTCCTAGCTGGATGACTGATGGTTAAGTGTTTCACTCCTCCTTTATCAAATTTGTCTCTTTCCAGGGTTGCTCTTACTTTCCACACCTCTCTCCAAATTTTATACTTATCTAAAACTCTCCATCCATCCTCTGATATCTGCTTCATGTATTATCTCTGAGAACATCCTGACTATTGTGACACGCTCCTGGGATTGCTCTCCAGCTAGGAATCTAATTCCTCTCAGGGTTACATCATCGTGCTTTTCCTTGTATGAATTCCAGAACTCTTCATAGCCCTCTCTCTCCCAGAACATGATTTGCCACACTCTTTGGTTTCCAAATGTCAGCAGGCTTGTTACTTGCTCTAGTTTTATTTTTTCAATGTCTCAAAATTCTAATATTATAAAAACCTAAGTCTGTCTGTCTGTCTGTCCATAATGCTTTATTGGCACTCTGATTGGCTGACAGAAACAGCCAATCAGAGTGCTCCAAGCTTGGGGGACTGCCACCATGATTCCAAAGCCGCACTGAGGACTGGACAGAGGGTGGCCTTAGTTTCCCCCCCCACCAAGAGGCAGGACAGCAGCAGCATGGGACGTTAGGAGGTGGCACTCCATCTCAGCCCCTTCACCCCTGCCCATATCATGCTTGGTTGGTGTTATATATAAGTTTTATGAAGTCTTTTGGCAGGCATCCTGCATGCAAGTTTTGCCTGCCCTCAGCCATATGGCTGCAGAAGCAAGCTAGGGAGGACCTGCAATTTCCATAAAGTGGGCTTTAAGCCCCAGGACTTTGGCAGGTACTAAACCATGCTAAAAGATCGGTTATCCCCTGGGGGATATCTGAAGTCCCTGGTGGGGGTGGAGGATGTTTGCCGGTTGTAGGGCGACTTATAGTTTTGGACTGACTCATGGTTTTGGACTTGATTTGGCTGATTTGGCTTAGAACACAAAAAATTTGTTTTAAAAAAAGGGTATTATATAGAAGCTTTCAATTAGAAAAAGGTGCAAAGGGGCTGATTAAAAGTGTATTTATGGAGTACCTGTGCTAAAACTTGCAGCAGTTTCAAAAAAAGGTAAGATGCCAAGAGTTCCAGGTGAACTAAGTTAGTGGGTACTATATACAAATTGCTACAGCAGAGTTTATTTCAAGGTCATTGTTTTCAAATTTGCTCCGTACTTCCGTGTGCTTAGGGAGAGCAGAGTTTGACAGTAATGAGTGAGGGAAGAAGTTTGGGGCTCAGGGGGTAAAGGGGCTACCTGACTCCCCAGATTTCTTTTCCTTGATGTAGCAGTGGGAAAGGGACAAATTCAAGGCAAACCTCCAATAATTAGATTCTGTACCTGGAAAATAATATCAAATTCATAAATTCTCCATATATAAAATCTAATGATGGAGGGGCTCTTATAATCAGGATATTCTTATATTTGAGTAAACATGGTACTTTTTCCCTCTTTCTACTTGGTGCAGTTTTCTTTAAAACTCAGAACTGAACAAAAAGAATTGAGGAGGCTGGGTAATGTACAGTCTTCCTAAACTTAAGCTGTAAATGTTTGGTATTATGAAAGTGTTCTCATGGAAACTGGTGGGGAATTGCTTTTCTTGAATGTCCTTGAAACTTGTTAGTGTTAAAAACAGTTGAATGCTAGAATTTTTAATTTGTGGAAGCATCACTTAACCTAGCTTATTGGTCGGTACACTTTTTTTAACCATTGTAGTGACTGAGTTAGAAGATAAACTGCTTCAGAGTGAGGCTTGTCACAAGAATGCCTTACAGAAAATAGCAGAGCTGGAGACTGAGTTACAGAATGCCCATGGAGAGTTAAAAATCACTTTGAGACAACTACAGGAGCTGAAAGAGATTCTTCAAAATGCACAGTTATCACTGGAGGAGAAGTATGCTGCTATCAAGGATCTGACAGCTGAGCTTAGGTGTGCTAGCTTTCATTGTGATCTTAGAAACAGTGAAACTTGTGGTTGTTGTTTTCTGTAGTATTTCTATCAGTTCTCTGTAATCTCTATATAGTTAATAGTTTTGGGATAACTCAAAGTAGTCTCTAACGTTTTCAGTGTCTAAAAAGTGAATATTTTATAAGGAATTACTTTGTTGGAAATGTCTTCAAATTCTGTTAAAATAGTATTTCCCAATTCAAATCTCAAAAATGGCCTGACTCAAAGACATGCTGAGGAGCCACAGCTGTTCACTGAAGTTACTGGAAGATATGGTCACTGAGTATCTTTGAAAATAATAACATCTTACATTGTAGGTACTTAAATGTTGGTTTAATTGCCTGACTCTAGGCACCCACATTTGAAAATACTAGGTTGATTTCAATGAGATATGTATTCATTTGCTCGGTCAAGAAATTAAATAATTTCTATCTTAAAAGTTTTTCACATCTAGAAGTACTTTTATATAATGTGCTGAAAATAGTTTTTAATTTTCATCTGTCATTTTAAACTTCTGATTGAGAGTGAGTGCTTGGGAGCTTGTCTGCTAAGAGAAGCAACACTTAGAGTAGCTTCCATCTCTGGCTCTCCATCCATATCAATATTAAAGGAGGCCATGAGCGGGGAGAGAGATCTACAGGGACAGAGTGCATGCTACCACTATCAGGAAAAGAGAGGAGTAATATCTGGCTTCCAGCTCACATCCTTGGTTTATGTAAGGGAAGAGGCACCCACTATTTCCATCTACAGTTACCATGGTTACTATTTTAAAGGTTTTATTTAACTTTTTCCACATATGCATGTTATCTCACTCCCTTTTTGCATCATTTGCTGCTGTGTGCCTTTCTTTCTTTCTTCATCTCTTCTCCCCACTATCCAATAACATTTTTGGAGTGGGCAAGTGAAGCACCAGCTTCAGGCATCACCTTAGTGGGGACACCAGAATGGTGGCTCCTTGGGGAGTCTATGCCCTGGCAGCAGTAGCATCCCCATGCTGCTGCTGTTGTACCTGGCTACTAATGCATGTACGCTGTGCTGTTGCTCTGGCAACAAGAGGGGATGGGAGACTAAGATGCAGCAGCTGGAAGATGGCCAAAGCAAGTAAGACTCCTGCCCACCCCTACTCTCCATCAGGGTTTGCACAGAGCACAAACCCTTCTAGTTATACCTCTGCCCATATACACTGCATGAAATAGTAGTCTAGCACGTAACAGCTGCTGTCACCTGTTTGGTGGCTAGGAGCTTTCAAGTAAAGCCTATGGAAATCATGTGGAACGGGCAAGTGAGAAGGAAAAGCAAATGCCTCGTGGGTTAAAGAAGTATCAGGTATGGCAGCAGCAGCAGTTTCCTCCTGTTCAAGTACCCATGCATGCCTTGCAAATTCAGATTTCTCTTCAAGAGAGAGAGAATCAGAAATTTAGACTGTCTCTATTTTTGAAATGATATAGGGGGCATCATAGAAGCAGAGACTGTCTTAATGAGAAAGTTATGACTGAATGTTAAATATGATGCACAATTAATTTAACTATTTTTTAAAATATGGGGGTTTTCAAATGCAAGGTCTTTCAGATTTATGAAAATATGATCTTTTTGAAGCTGGGAGTTGGTGAGGTGCATCTTTACAAAGGAGAGAAACATCTACGTGCTTTTATTTTTCACATGGAAATTGCAGGCAATGCAAAGGTGAAATTGCAGATAAAAAGCAAGAACTTCTTGACATGGACCAGGCACTGAAAGAAAGGAACTGGGAACTGAAACAAAGAGCAGCTCAGGTTGGATTTTTTTCTAAAGCATGGTACTAGAGTATTTCTTGTTAAGCAGCTGGTTACTTAAAGCTCAACATTTGGTAAAAATGCCCAAATTATTGTTGTAGTCTCACTCCTGCAGAGAGCATTGCTGACACAGAGCATTCATGTAGTCATCAGAGGCTATACAAGTGGCTACTTCAGACTACTGCTTAGTGAAGGTGCTAAAGGATAGTGCTTCTTAGTTTCCAAAAATTTACTTTTTCTTCCAACCTTTAGGTCTGGATTTAAATCAAATTAAATTTACCTTCACTTTTGTATGTATTACCTCTTACACCAGAAGTAGTATAACATCCTTATTGTATTGATGCTCACATTTTTTTAAATATGAGTTGAATATTTTCCTTTCTCTGCTTTTGTGAGACTCCCATTTAATACTGACCAAGCTGATGTGATCTGCATTTGAATCTCTGGCAGAATTTTTTCTCTCTCCCACCCCCAAGACTGTTCTTACATAGTAAGATTAGCTAGATAAGTCTGAGTTTCAAGGTTTAATTCCTCATCCAGTTTTTTTAATGAGAATAGTTTCATAGTTTCTATGAAACTATTCTCATAATAAGGTTGATATTATTTGCTCATCACAAATTCATTCCTAAAGTGTTCATTTGATCCAAATGAGGTAACTGGTATGCCTGTTTTCTTGCTACCAGACAATAGCAAGATTACCAGATTACTCACTGCAGGTGCTAAATGGGCCCTTAACTGCTTCTTGTAAATGTAAATCCCTAAAATGGCTCTTGTCTTTTAATAATAAAGTTACAGGATGGGCAATAATCTCTCAGTACTTGACATATTGTCTTAAGACTCCTATCATGCTCTGAGATCCCTCCTGTTCTCTTGAGTCTCAGAACACATTTGCTTAAATCTAAAGTAACTTCCTAAACATGCAGTTGAAAATCTTACTGTGGAATTATAAAGAGCTTTTGCCTGAAGTTTACTCCATACCTGTTCACAACTTTACTGTTGATATGGTTTCAGGATCTGGGGACAAGTCCTGGAGCCATTGTTTAATTAGTCTTTTCAAAGTCACTTTATTAGAGTGTTACTGCTTGTCACTCTCATCAGTGAAAATTCTCAGAGGAGAAAAATTTCTTCCGAGATTCTACAAAAGTTGAAGGATCTGAAAGTGCCTGGTTGCTACACCTCCTTGTACAGCATCATGTGAAATAAAATAGGCATATTCCAAGACTACAATTCTGTACTGATAGTCCACTCAATGAACTGCAGTTAAAGTTGAGTAATTGATCTTGTTTTACATGTTGAACAGATGTATGGAATTAGAATTGTTTTCCCCTCTTCTCTTGTACATGGTTTCTTAGAATAGATTTCTAGAATCTAGATGTCAAATCTCTATGCATTGTTGTGTGGCTGCACTGTGCTGTCTGGAAGGAATTTGTTTCATTGGGTGTGTTGAGTTCTTTGCTATTCTGTAACAGTTTTCCCCTGAAGTTCTTAATAGTACTTCAAAACAAAGTGCATAACGTTCATTATTCCTCTTACCTGCTTTTAGGTTACACAGTTAGATATGACTATTCGTGAACACAGGGGAGAAATGGAGCAGAAAATAATCAGATTAGAAGGCAGTTTGGAGAAATCTGAATTAGAAATTAAGGAGTGCAACAAACAGGTACTTATTCATCGAAAAATCAGATCCTGTTACTGTGGTTGGAACTCATGACTTAATGTCTGCATGTGACAGGGAAGGACTGTCCACCTGGCATATGGCCCCCATGAAGTTATCTGCAGCCCCTGGGCTCCCAGCTCTCCTGCTACTGCCACCAGAATTTCCAGGCTCCCTCTTCCTCCTCCATCTTCTGCTTCCTACCCCTGTGTTGGCAGGGCTTGAAGGAGCCTGTGGCAGGGGAGCTCAGGGGAGAACTGGGACCACAAGTGGTATGGGGGTGTGGTACAATACATGGTGGGAGAGGGAAGGCAGGGAGGCTGTGATGTGGTGTATGGCTGGGGGCCATGGGCACCCCAGCCACTCAGAAGCTGGAAAGCCTTGTAATAAGGGAATGGATCCGAGTTAAACTGGCTTAAATTCAGTCCAGAGAAAACAAAATGGCAGGTTGCAGGGGGCCCTTGTGGTTTTGGTGATATCTTTTTAATCATCAAAAATATTACAGTTGATAAATTAAAACTAAGTTTCTGAAAGAAACTGTAGTATGGAAAGAGAAGTTTAGTCTCATTACTTTCTGAAAAATGCCCCTTAATATTGCTCTTTTATAATGGGTTAAAATTACAAAAATTAGTAAAGGGATTTAAAGACAGTAGTAGTTGAAAATACTTCTGACTTAAGTTTTGAAATTTTCAGTATTTTAGTGTGTCCCATAATTCTAGTCTTCTTAATATATGGTCAGATTGAGAGCTTAGATGCCAAACTACAACATTCTAGAGATGAGCTTCGTGAAAAAGAGTTTGAACTGCTGCAGAGAGATCAAGAACTAAATCAACTGAAAAAAGAAATTGAAAGAAAAGAACACAGACTCACAGGTATTGAAAAGGTAAGGTGTTTCCTTGGGTGAATATTTTTTTTCCAATGAGCCATGATGATAAAAATAAAGTTTATCTATATCGAGAGAGATAGAGATATGTAGACAGATAATGAGAGCACACTGTTAAAATAAGTAAGGTACAGTGGGAGTGTCTACATGTGCCCTCCATGCGCCATTGTTATTGCACCGTCATTTAGTTCTCCCTTCTGGCAGTACTAAATAATGGTGCAGTAACAGCTGTTATTGTACCACCTGGGCAGTGCACAGTTATTTTTAACTGCTATGTTGCCCTAATGATGTGCTATAATGAGGTAGCTTATTGCTACGGTGATGTAGCATGGAAGTCATGGTTTGTGCCTGCCGATGCTACATCACTGTAGTGATAAGCTATGTCACTGCAGCAATGTAGCATCGCTTGTAGACTTGCCCAGTATATATTATTTTACAAAGAATATAAAAGTTTATAGGCCCACACTGCTTAGTATAGGTGTTAGAAAGAAACTGGTTTTCTGGGTGACTTACTTCATAATTATCCTGTATTGAGTTTCTTGCACCTTTCACTGTAATATCTGAGGTTGGGGAGAAAATACTGAATTAGATGAACCACAGATCTGATCTATCAAGTGCTCTCTTCCTTCAAGGTACAGTAAGATCAAAAAGCATTGTTGCACTGATTTTTTTTTAAATGAAGGGGAGGAGAAGGAAGTTAAATTGTTGAATATTGTTTCTGTAGGTACTTGCTTTATTCTCTTGTTATAGACAATGAAAAACCAGGAGAAGTGCATTGCAGATCAGTACAAGGAAGCACTAGATTTAGGTCAACAATTAAGGTTAGAACGAGAACAGATGCAGCACATTCACTTGGATCTGCTGGAGACTCGCAGGCTGCTGGTTCAAGCTCAAAGAGAAACAGACAGACTCTCACATGAACTGGAAGAAGTGAACCATCTTTCTCAAGAAAAGGTGAGCAAACCATTAACTTGTATAAAGCAGCTTGGCTTTTACAGATGGTAGAATTACCCATTGAAAAATATGTTGGTTTTCTGGGTGTGCTACATACACTCGTGTATACTGAGTTGTTAGTAGTATTAATTTTATATTGACATAGGAGCATTTGGTTTCATTTATGTTAAAATGTGAATTGGATAAACTTCCAGAAGCATTATGGTGTGTGAATTGACTAGAATTTCCCTAATTTAAAAATACCGTTGTTTGGGGATATGTGGGGAGAAGAGGGAAGTGAGTTAATTCTTAATATATGGAACAAAGAAGGGGAAAGAGTTTCCGTATTTAAATATCTACTAGCAACTAGACTGTCTGATTCTTGTGTGGGAGACTTCTGCATGTCTTTTTTTTTACTTTCTTTCTGCATGCAGGGGTCAGGTTCAGTTGCAGTTTCTTTGCTGCTGTGAACCTATATGCTGCTCTCTCACTGCCCAAGGGGGCAATAACCAACCCAAAGATGTGGAAGGGAAGGGAGTGCAAACACATACACTCTACTTTCTAAGGAAGCGGGACGTGTACCTCTCTTTTGCACTTCAGGGAACTCCAAGAAAGAGTGTGCTTTGCTGAAGCAAAATTCCTTTCTGAATAGTTCCAATTTGGAGCAGCACTGAAAGCCATAATTTAGCTGTTATGCAGTAGGGTTTTCATCCCTTCATTGCAAAGCAAGATGCAACGGTTAAGGAGCAAAAGTGGTCTTATAGAACCATAGAAAAGAAGGGCTGGAAAGGACCTCCCAATGCTTCTGAGGGAGGTGAAAAAAACCTGACACGTAGCAGCAGGAGGGGGAAAAAAATCCTTCCTGGCCCCATGTGGCAACCAGCAAAGCCCAGAAGCATGGGAAATACTAAACACCCCCCACTCTGCTCTGCAGCCTAGGGACAGCAATCATAACTCCACACATCACACCCTCTTACCAGACGGTCAGAATTCTCCTTTCTGTGTCCCTTCCATAAATCTTATTCTAGCCCTTTAATCTTCTTTCATAACTAAGCCAGATCGTAGAGCTCTGCTTTATTCTCCTGCTGCTGAGTGTGGTCCTCTCTGATATCCACCTGCTTTCAGCTGCTTGTGCCTAATATTTTGGACCTGAATTCATTAGATTAATCATGAGTTTATCCAGAGATTGTCTTGTGTAAAGATGGACAAGTCTCTTCATCTGCTACTTCAGGGGTTGGCAGTCTATGGCCCATGGGCTGGATCTGGCCTGTAAAGAGGTTTAATCTTGTCCAGGAAGGTCTGACCTGCCATGGGGGATTGGGTAGCATGCAACTGCACGAACTGCCTGTTTCTTCTACAGCCCTCCATGCTGCTGTCTCATACATGTGTTTACCCTTGCTGCAGCAAGGCTAGGTATCTTGAACTCTGGGAGGAGTGGAGGGGCGCGAAGATATTTGTAGTCTGTGTGGGCAAGAGGCTGCCACCTTTGGGCTTCTTGAATGAATATGACTCTATTCTTGTATTTACTTGGCTTTGAATTGATTTAGAAACTAAATAAAAGCAAATTTGGCTTACTGACTCCTGGCTTTTAATTCCTTGCTTTGCTGATAACTCACTGTTGGACAAATGAGGTAAATGTTTAACTTCTCCAGCCAGGCTGTATAAACTGGGAAAGATAAGATTCATGTTTCTTCCAAGATGGTTCAAATAGAAGCAATGCTTTTTGGATGAAAGGTGCAAAACATTAATTGTACATTCCCTTTATCATTTATTATTTACTCCTACAGGAAGCTCGTGCAAACTGTTTGGCAGAAGAACTAGGTGCTGCCCAAGCACATGAAGCCCAGTTAGAAGCAAGAACGCAAGCAGAAATAAAAAGGCTTTCAGCAGAAATAGACTCATTAAAAGAGGCTTATGAGCTGGAGGTAAAAGAGAAAACTTACTAGGCTTTGGCATTTTTACAATAGTACATTTTTATTCTAGCACTACTGCACACCTTCTGGATATTTTCCTTCCAGTTCTGAAGACATAGTAGTGGTTTAGTGCTTTTTATGTTATTTCAAGACAGTGAATCATCATCTGCTACATCCATTTTCAAACTTATCTGTCCCTTTTGGGTATTTTCCAAATGGCATTTCCCATAAAATTGCTTTCATAGTAGAACATGCAAAGCCTAAACTAAGGCAAAGAGCATAAACATCCCCTGGAGCTGCTGGTAAGGAGAAGAGGCTCTGGGTTGGTAGACAGGCCATGTTCTTTGTTTTCTTTATATATGAGCTGAAAGACTCCAGCAGATATGCCTCCAAGAAGCAAGCAACTCCTCCTCAGAATTCAGCAGGCTAATAATCTGTGTAAGTCCTCAAGAAAGACTCCAATAATAAGTCAGAATATTCTTTCAAACCCTCTTCTCTCAAACTACCTCTCATGTACTCATGAATGACTGATTCCTAGGAGAAGGAATTCAGCATACTATCAAGCTCTTCTTCCTCCCACGGTGATTATTTGCGTCCACAGGGATACACATCCTTGCCATATATCTAATTATATTTCTGACAAAGAAAAGGGAAGACATTTGAGATACAAACTCAGAGTTGTTTCACAGTTGAAAAACCTAAGGAAAAAATAGGTGACACCCTTTCCTAAAACATAAAATTCCTCTGAGAGACCAAAGCAAAGTAGAGTTCGAAAAAGCTCATAGATATGCATGGACATACATGCATTCATGCACATGCATGGTCTAAGAAAGTCTAGAACATGGGTTCCCAAACTGTGGTATGCATACCCCTGGGGGTACATAAGTCATCTCTGGGGGGTACATGGGAGAAAGTATGTAATAGCGGATTAAATTTTCATTATAATTGGCATTTAAGGAGTTAAAATATAAAATGTATGCAGGTAGGGGTATGTGGACAGCTGGTAAATCTGGAAGGGGGCATGCAATAAGATAAAGTTTGAGAACCATTAGTCTAGAAGACAAACCAAACTTCTGTGGCTTTCCTCTTGTTCTGCCAACTGGAAAGAGTAGTACAAAAAAATCGGAGATATTACTGATATTACTCAGCATTATTAACTGTCAGGGAAGGCTATGTTCTTTAGCAGGATCTTGTATCAAATGGTCTACTTCTATATCCAAAACCAGCTTACTTGACTCTGACACCTGAACTTACAAAAAGATAAATCAAGCTAAGAAGAAAGGGCTTCTCAGGTGATGAAGTTCTACTGTTCTACTACAGACCATCAATTGGATATCTCAGCACAAGTGTAAACAAAATGTTCTTGATTGTTAAGAAAAGAAAATTAATTCCAAGACGCCAGGAATTTAAGTTCATTTAAATAGTTTTCATGTTAATCTTTTATGCCTCTACAACTTGCAGGTCATGGAATGTGAAGGCATTATAAAAACAGGCTTATCTGAGTCACTACTGTAGTGGGGGCCAACTTTTTGGGGTATGCCACAAATTACCCCAAACCCTCCCTAAGTGCCACTTCAATCCCCTTCCTCTGCCTAATCAGCTGCTCTGCCTTCTGTCCTTTGCCTTTGCCCAGTCTCTCGCTTTTTTTCTGCTCCCTGATTTGCTGCTGTGCATGCTGCTCCCTGCCCTGTGCTGCTGTGGTGCCTGTCTCCTTCCTGGTCTGCTGCATGACACGCACAGAGGTTGCCTGTGCCACTTGTGGTGCACATGCTGCACATTGGCCATCCCTGCACTAATGGATCATCATTCATTGTCTGGTTCTGGAAAGATAGCATGCCTATCCAAAAAAATTGTTTTTGGATCAGAGATCTGACCTCACAGATCATGCCATGGAAGACTTCAACCTCTTTATCAGTCCTACTTAGTGCAAACCATTGGCAAGTGGGAGTTGCATTAACAGAGCAAATCTTGGAAATCTGTATTTTACGAAGAAAACATCTCAGGGCACATCCAGACGTGCGTGGACATTTGGTTCCCTGAGGACAACTAGCAGTGACATACCTTGCACCTCAGCTACTTGTCCCCAGGAAACACCCATGCCACGCATGCTTTGGTGCACAGCAGGTTATCCCGGGTGTGATAGAGGAGGCAAGGGCTAGCACTGTGCTGGCCCCAGCAGCCTTGCCTAGGGTCCTGGGGGCCTCCCAGGGCTGCAGCTGGGGTGATCCTGCTGGGTGGAGCCTGGCCATCAGTTGCAGCACAGCTCTGGGTGGCTGGGCTCAGCTTTTCGGCAGCACATGCTTTCAAAGCATGTGCTGCTCTGTTGTTTTTTTTCTTTTTTCTGCAGATTTTTTTGACCCCTGGATATCCAGGGGTCAAAAAAAAACTGCGGGGGGTGGGGAAAAAAACAGCACATGCACAGGCAATGCACCCTTGCAGCATGAAGAATGCCGGAAATTGCAGTATGTGGAACTTCAAATGTGTTTGCAGTGCCACGTACCACATGACTGTGCTTATTTGGATGCACCCCCAGTGTATATTCCATAAGGCCAAAGTTTTTTTTTTTATACTCTTATATTGTTCCTGTCTAGAATCAGCATCACCCTTCATACCCCTCAGGAAATGACATTGTCACTATTTTGCCAAAAAAATACGTGAGAAAGATAGCAGATTGGTATAAAGAAAAAAATGAAGTTATATATAACTCAATTAGGAATACTGCTACCTTGAGAGATTTTAGGATGAAAGGAAACAACTGTAAAAAAAATAATAATTCCATCTAGCAAGATAGATAAAATGCTCATCAAAGAAGCATTTGCAGCAATTGATGAGTCAGTTTTAAAGGTGATCTGAGGCCAGTTCAGACTTTGTATGGCTGCCCCTTGGTCTGAAAGAAGATCAACCATATGGAAGAAATCAGCAAGGCTGTCATTCCTTTAAAAACTGCAGACTGATTTGTGCTCTTTTATGGAGGCATCCAGTAGCGGAAAACTGTTCCAAGGGTTTTTTAGGTAATCTTTTGCTTATGCATTTGAAGAAAGTGAGCACACAGCAAGATAAAACTAGTAATGAGAGAGGGTTAAAGGATCTTAACCCCCTCTGTATCTTTTGTACATATCTGCCTGTGTCTCAAATGTATTCTGCTAGGAAAATGTATGGATCTAGATTTGGAAGGGTTACCAGACAACAGTATTTCCTTTTCTGGAAATCTGACTTGTCTTCACATCTTCCTTACCTTAAATAAGTGGTCTGGAACTGATGAAATCATCTGGAAGCACACTTTCCATTTAATTGTTGGTTTTTCCTTGATTGAAGTTGAAGAAGGAGATTGCTACAAGGGGTTAGAGGAGTGGGTTCATACATATATGATAAAATAGGCACCTGCTGGAGCTGATGGGATCGTTGCCCAAATCTTCAAGCAGTGGGGAGAGGAGTTCATCACAGTTCCATGCCCTCATCTTAAAAATCTGTAATGATGAGGAAATTCCAGATAACCTCAAGGATGACATGATCATGACAGTCTTCAAGAAAGGAGAAAAGTCCAACTGAAAATTCCAGCAGGATCACTTTGCTGTCCACCACATCCCTTTCACTTGCTGAAGAGCTTCTCTTGGAATCTCGGTGTGCGTTTAGGGCATCAAGAGAAACAACTGACATGATCTTCACTGCTTGCCAGCAGCAGGAAAAATGTAAATCCCTCTACATGGCCTTCTTTGACCTCACAAAAGCCTTCAACTCTGTAAACTGAGAAGTATTATGAAGAATCCTGAGGTATGGGTGCCCACTGAAATTAATCACCATTCTTTGCCTGCTTCATAATGGTATGTGCGCAGTGGTTCTCGATAAGGGATTGTGGAAGAAATCAAACTTTGCGTTGTGGTTGAATCAGAACTGACAGAGCCAGCTTTTCTTTATTTCGGGCTATACTGTGATTACAGGGAGAATTTTATACAGCAAGGGGAGATACCCACTTGTTTGCTTCAAAGGAATTCTCTAACTATGAGTTTACAAGCATTTTTATACTTAAGACAGAGAAAGAAAGAAGAGAAAAAAAATACAACCTTGGAGAAACAAAAGTACTGATTCACACAGAGGCAATTAAAAAAACACCTGTGCTCAGGTAATATATCAAAACAAATTAAGGCATGTAGGATTCCTCATCTCAGAACACGTAACTAAAATAAGCAGTATCAGTACTTCTGGTCTCTGTCTGTTTTTCTAGTCAAGCAGGCCAGAAGCCCAAACAATTCTGCTACTACAGGATCTATCACAGAACTTTGTAAGGTTAAGGTGGGAGTTAATCCAGGCTGTATCATTGCTCCAGCACTCTTCTTGATATTCCTTACCATGATGCTACATTTGACCCACCAACAACCTTTCAGTCAGAGTGGATCTAAACTACCAAATGGATGGTAAGCTGTTTTATCTTAGCTGACTCCAAGTCAAAACCACCCTGACCTCAATCATCAAGCTCCAGTATGCTGATGATACTGTAGTGTGCGCTCACTCAGAAGCAGACCTTCACACAGTTGTTGATGTCTTTTGAGAAAGAAAATGGGAGTGATGCTTAACATTCAGAAGACTAACGTGCTCCACCAACAAGCTCTTAATGAGTAGACCCCAGCTCCAGTAATTCAGATTAACGGTGAGACTCTGGAGAACTTTAAGTATTTCTTGAACCTCAGAAGCCCTCTCTTGCAGAAGGCTGACATTGATGAAGAAATCCAACTTCATCTCAAATGTGCAAGTGCAGCCTTTAAAAGCCTGAGGAAATGGGTGTTCAAAGATCACAACATCAGATCCAAAACCAAGCTCATGGTTTATCAAGTAGTCATGATCCCCACCTTATTGTATGTAGCTGAGATGTGGGCAGCATACAAGGTTCACCTCAAGTTGCTGGAGAAGTACTATCAGCACTGCCTGTGGAAGATCCTTCAAATCCAGTGGGGAGACAGATGCACCAACGTTAGCATCTTCTCACAAGCAAACACCACAAGCATCAAAGCAACGATCATAGACATCAACTTTGCCAGGCTGGCCACATCAGACAGATATCCAACTCCAGACTCCCAAAGCAGGTTTCATTTCCCCAGCTCGGTTGAAGCTTATGCTCAAGGGCAGAGAAAGCACTTCAAGGATGTCTTCAAGGCTAACTTGAAAAAATGCAGCATCAATATCAACTTGTGGGAGACTGTCACCCAGGACCACCCCAAATGGAAGAAGAGTCTGCTGCAAGGGTCTCAGTACTTTGAAACTTTACAACAACAATGGGAGAGAGAAAAATGGGAGTGGCAGAAACAGCATGTTGTGGACCAAACCAAGAACCTGGAGCCACCCACCTTGCATGGAAACACATGCCCCAGCTGCTACAGGGTCTGTCAATACTGGATAGGTCTCATCAGCCATTTTCAGATCCACAGATAAGACAATAATCCTTGATTGCAAGAGATAGCCACAATGATGATATGGCAAAATATGGAAGTGTATTGAAGGGGTTGATGGAAGGGATTGATTTTTACTCAAGATTTTTTCTAAGTGGCTTGTTTGTTTTCTGAAAGTAATAGGTTTCCCAAGGTACAAATTGGCAGATTTGATTTCAACTGGAAAGGTAAGAGTGTTTGTTCCTGTCAACAAATGAATTAATTTTTAGCTGAGCCTAATATGTTAGTATTGATGGGTTTTGAATTTATTACTTGTATTCTTTTTAGTCTATAAATATGGTACATGAAATAAGAATAAAATAGCCTTTGTTTTTTCTTAAAACTTTTAGAAGCTTGCTCATCAAACAGACCAGGAAAAGTGGTATGTATCTATAGACACCCAGAAATCTGGCTCTCAGCATCTAAGTGGGCAGTTACAGCAGCTGAAGCTGGAGTTAGAAGAGGCTCAAGACACTGTCAATAATCTGCAGCAGCAGCTTCAGGCCAGAGATGAAGTAGTTCGTGCTGCAAATGAAGCACTACTTGTGAAGGTGAGTTATGAAGGCAACATATTCACAGACAGCTTCTTTTTTGACCTTATATTCTATCACTGTATGTCCCCCTTTGGCCTTTTCCCCCCCCCCCGCCCCCCCCCCCAGCTTTCTCCCCCTCTCTCTTACCTGTTTTACCTTTTGTCTTTCTAATTTCTACGTATTTACATTCTCACTGACATCCTGCCACACTTTTAGCTTCTCTCATTTTTGGAGTCTTGGAACAGCAGAGACTCCCTACACCTGAAGAAGGGTGACTGTGCCCAAAAGTTTGCCAAGAACTTTTTTCCAACTACTCAGTTGGTCTAATAAAAGATATCACATCTACTCAAAGAACCTTGCCTCCTGCCTATGTTGTACATGAGGCATTTTGTGCAATTTCTATGAGTAAAAACAAATGAAGGGGCCCTTAAAATCAGTGGTAAATCTTGTTTATTACTGTCATTCCCATTCCTCTTTTGTTTAGATCATAATAAAGTTGTATTTCAAATATCTAAGCAAGTGAACTTTCACGCATTGTTAGGAGTAATTCTTCAAGCAATGTCTTCCATTCTTAAATAGGTGGTAACAGCATTCAGTTTTAATATATATTTTTTTCTTTTCAAATGTGTTTACTTGACTTGCTCCAAGTAAATTTTATAGGTAACAGTTACCCTTTTCAAGGCTTCTTGAGGCCTATTCATTTAAGTACTCCTTTTTTTTTTTTTTTTTTTAAGAAAGCTGAAATGTAATTGCTAGGGAAGGCAAAAGCAGTAGCACTTGAAATGGTAAGTGTAAAATGATTGAAACAAATGTAAAAATGCACTAGGGAAGTTAACTATCCTTAGTGGGCATAGTTATAAAATGGATGCAGTTTGCAGGGATTCTTGTGACCTAGGAACTATAGTATAAAAGCTCCATGTGTTCATTGATTCTGTAAAGGGACTATCAGTTCTCATTGGAAGTTTGTTTAGTTGTGTATAACGTGTCTATTCACCGAGCTTTATACTACAGCAGCCAGAAACTATTGGCAGTGTGCCTGTGTCAAATGACGTACAAAGCTATAGCTCTGCTGTAGCTAGGTTGAACATTATTCAAGAGGGTGAAAATGGGACTCTTCCCTGAGCATGCATCTCAAACTTTTTTTGCTAAGTAGAAGCAAGTCACACTTGGACAGAAGTACTCCTGGCTACAGAAAAGCAGGATTTGTTAAATCTACCCTTGTATAAACCAAAAGTTACTGTAACTGCACCAAGTTCTATTTTTGAAACTCTTGTTTCTTACAGCACAAATGGTGGAAAATGTCAGCTCTAAAAACTGTCTTGTAGAATCTATTATTTGAATCTAATATTAGAGCTAGAAGTACTGGTAGTCAACATGGCAAAATAGAAATTTATGATATCTTTTTTTTTCTCCCAGTAGTGTTCATTTGAGTACGTGAAGCCTTGAACTAAATTCAGTTTTGTATTTTTGGTTTCTTAATAACGTGAAGCATTTAATTTATTTCTCTTTAAAAAAAAAAAAAGTAAATAAGAAACAGAAACTAATTATCCAATTTTGATTTTTTTAAATTACCTTG